AGGTGCATATGTTTGCCGACATCCATGACTTTATTGTTTGCTATAATTGCATCGTGAGACATCTTGGCTTGGTTAGCATCGGCCTCGACTCTAGTAGGACTCGATCTTGACAGGCATGACAAACACCTGCAGCCTGTGAGACCTTTGTTTGCTGGCAAGTGGACCTGCGGATGTATGTTAGGAAGGTTGCACGCACATGCGAACAATTGCTGCTTGTACAGCTAGTAGATAAAGACGGTGAAGACATAGTTTGGATCAATCTGGAAGAGCTTAATGCTAGCTGAGCTGGAACCAATGTAGAGTACTCTAACCGTCGGCGGCGTTCAACTCGGATCGAAGGTATCAAATTGTCAGTAAACGTCTTCCGTTCGACAGTTTAAATCTCACTGCTCGTCAATCATGAGCCTGTTGCTTATGATATGCTCTCTCGGAGTCTGCCGCCTTAAGATGACGGTCTTATTGAAGCGATTGCATCCTGCCAGGTCTGAAGCTGTTAATACATGAAGAATGACTCTCAAGACTGGCTAACGCCGCCGGATCATCACTGATGCTTATAGCGCTCGCGCGAGGACCGATGCTCTAGCATGACCTAGCTGCTAGGCTGCATGCATCCAATGTTTTGACCTGGCACGTGTCTGAAAACTTGGATTCAATCGTTGCTAGGCCGCCCGCCACATGCTGCGCAATCCATGTATGGCTGCCGTTGAGTCACTTCCTGCCTCATTTTACCGTCCAAATTATGAGATTGAACCTCACGTATAGGCGTCAAAGGGGTCTAGAGCACCATTAGTCAGGCCGCTCATCAATTTAGTGATCGTTGCAAATGCACTTTCATGACCTTGTGCCCGGGGCCGATTAACCAGCAGCGCGTCCCGGGCCGTGCAGCATACGCGTAGCTACTAGAGGTTTTCTTGCGTACAAGGAAGGGGTGGCTGACACGGATCGGCTGTGATACGCAATTGTCATCTCTTATAAGCGCCATGTGCGGGCGGTCAATTGCCATTATTGTCATGCACGCCGGTTGCGCCGTCGAATAGATTACATCGTACACGCATCGATCTGGTAAAAGCGAAGGGCTTGGATCTCCAGGATCGATCAGTCATTCAGCTTGTAAGCTCTTGATAATGTATGCTTCATTCATATGTGATGACGAGTGCTCAGAGTCATTTTGTGGATGCCATTATTGTTCGAAGCCCCGGCGGCAGACGCCTGCTCCCGCCACTGACTTACAATTACGTGGTTGTGTGGTCACACTCAGTTTTACAGGTGAAAAAACAGTCCGCTCCTATCTCTTGTTTACTTCCCCGTTAGGAACGAATCTGCTGACTTTCAGTCTTCACAGGAAAGAGAAGATGCTACTTCTTTCCGGAATGGCAGCTGGGATTGCCTCTGATACACCGCCGACCTTCCGAGGAGCTTCAACCATCAGTGGTGAAACGTCTTCTTTCCGCCGTTCACCCAAGTGCTCGACGGGTGCGTTGGTGCCGCTTTCACGCTCAGTCAGAACGGCGGGCTCCGTGCTTGAGCCTTTCACTGAGTGCGACTTGAACCCCAGAGCTGCAGCCATTTCGCCAATCTCGCCAGCAAAGTCCGATCTGAAAGAATCTGTGAAAGACTCCTTTTCGCGGCTAGATCCGGACGCGAGAAACGTCTCGCTTCCGTACGAACGGCCTCCTCCGTTGCCTTCAGAATGAGAGGGCATCCCGGCTCCGTCAGCTAGGGTTACGTTCCGACCTTCAGCTAGTCCGCCTCTGCTTCTGGCCCCCGTCAGAGCGGAATCGAAAGTCAACGTCGAGAGCGGCTGACTCTCTTCCGCGATTTTCCTTCTCAGATCCGGCATCTTCCAGGTTGGGGCTTTCCTGTGAGCAGCTCCGTTGAGGAAAGATCCCAAAGGCGGTCGAGAAGTTACTGCTCTTCCCGCCTGATTTTCCGGTCCGCAAAGCTCTTCGTCACAGAAGCTTCTGTCCCCGGTCGAAGCGAGCCTGCTACCCCTGTTTTGAAACTCAAGCTTCCTCGGAGGCGAATCCCAGACGGCCTTCTCTTCCCGCTCGGGTCCTGGCTCGCAGTTGGCTGTGCGCTTCAAGGGTGCGTTGTTTTGCCGTAGGGAGAACCCAGAAGCAGGAGCTCGGTTCTTTCCGGAGGATGCCTTTGACATGGACGCGGCAAACGACTGTGCAGCGCTCGGGCCGCTTGGTTCTGCCGCTGCTGAGGAAGTGGATCCACTAGGAGCCCCTCTGAGGGAAGAGAGGGCCGTCACCTTTGGTTGCGCCGAGCGAGCGGAAAGCGTTGCGTCCGAGTGCGCCGACGGCCGGGAGAAGAGCTTGGCAGTGCTCGAGAAAGTACGCGTCCGCTCGGGAAGTTGCTCTGAGGAGGGTCCGTCTTGATTCGAGGAGGAGATTCTGCTCCGTTTCGGAGGGAACAGACTGTTCAACGGTGCTTCTGACATGTTCCGCTTTGCAGGAACGGGCTCCACTGGTGGAACCAGGTTTTCGGTTTTGGCGTGGGAAGAACCTCTGCTGGTCCATAGCGCTGAAAGAAAATTCTGAGGTCAAATCAGAAAAAAAAGGTTTAGCAATATGCATACGGAACCAAATTTGAATTGAGGCTCTCTTGTAAAACAAGCACTAAGGGCGGCACGTTCTAGCATAGTTCTTGCCAACATGGCACGTTTTCTCGACAACGACAGTCACAAACACAGAGATCTGGATTGAAAGGAACTCACATCGTTGCCATCCGTTCCATTCGCTCTGCGTCCAGTCCAGGTTCCTCTTGCAACATGCATGCTCGCACGCGCTTCTGTCTGCAAAGAGAAAAGGGCGTTCATTTCTGCGGAAACGCTATCAAGAGGTGCTCCTTAGTCTCAAGGCACATTAGGACCATTTTATCTGGAAGGATTACCGCTTCTGAGGTTTGCAACGGAAGCATACAGATACTCTCGGGCACCTCATCACGGAGTCCCTACTTGAGGAACAAAGTTTGACACGCCTGCAATAGTACTTCGAACCATTCTATTGCATCCTCACCTGCACAAGGGCACCTGCAAGCTTGCTGCTGCAGCGCCTCTCCTCCTGCCCCGGTATCTTGAAGAAGTTTTGCGGATCTGCAACGAAGTTCGAAGATTCATCACATGCGGCAACATGCATTCAATGGGCAATTCGTAATCAAAAGCAGTGGCAGCTTTTGAAAGGTACTTGGAAGTGCACTTGTCCAGCAAGATTTTTGGCTGAAACGGCGCAAAGACTGGAGCAATACCTGTGATACTAAACAAGGCAGCTCTGACCGAGGGGACAAGTCTAAGATTGTCATCGAGAACAGCTCACATGCTAGGCTCCACTGACGATCCGGCTGGTGGCATTTCCAAGCTTGCGCCGTCCGATCCAGAGCATCGATCCGACTGAATTCTGGTGTTGTAACGAAAAGCCGTGAAATCCTCAAATGCTTGAGGGCCCATGTGCGGTCTTGGCATCTCCTGCGTTTTCTTAGCTGCTTTTTGGGCCGCTTTTTCACCGTTCTTGGAGGCTTTCTGTGATGCTGATGACTTTGCTGGTTCATGTGCGATCTCAGACTTTGAGGATCGGTCGTACGTGACTTGTGCGGTTATGTCAAGACCAACTGCAAGAAGGAAAAGAAAATTGTTCTGGCTGGTCATGGAACGGCATTGCAATACGGGGAAGTCGTTCCCTTAAATACCGTACACCATGTGCGTTACGAACCGGAGGACAGACGCTTATCGCAGTCCTGAAGGAGGGTTATCATTGGAGAGCGTGCTGAGCTGTCTTACTACGACATCAGTGGAGTGGCCTTCAGAGCGTCTTGAATGCGTTGTACCGTTTGCAAAGTCTAGTCGGTTTTAGACCAGGAGCCTGATGCTTACCGTAGTCCTCCAAAATGACTGTGGCGGTGATGTTGGAGGGAGACCCGGAAGCGTTTCTATTGGCGACTACGGTGAAGTAGTACGGGCTGCAGAAAAGCGAACAACCAAGATATGGGCATCAAGTGGGGCTTTGAAGCCTGACGACTGTCATCTAAAACTCGCTTGTCAAACGGAATCCAGGTTTTACTTGAACAGCAGTGCAACCATGTGGGTCACAATTACTGAGACGATTGCAGAGATACAGGTTGAGAGTCCCTACCTCGAGAATTGGTCGAGCCTGCAAGGTACAAGGAGATGCAGTTGTTTTACTGCCCTCTAATCGCCACGAATCCACGACGAAGGAACCCCGGTTCATGTTTTCGGCAAGATTCAGGGATTCACTGCTATGCTCTTGGATTTCGAAGACTTGCTGGGCACTGAAACAAAGTCTCTGTCGATTTGATGCCTCCTGTCATACAAACGCTTTAAATCTTCATACGTCGTAGGTCCGTGAACAAAAAGAAACATACCTTATCTTCTCAAAAGCCAAAAGCCTGTTATCTTGCTCGCTCCCGACCACCTGCGAGGAAACTCCAGCTTTTAGGAGTCGTTGAAGGTGAGATCGAAAAGAGTCACTTGGATGAGGCTCTGACGTCAGAAAGTAACGTACGTACTTGCCTGCGCTTTCGCGGGAAGTCCTTCTTAATCAAGCCTCTATTTCTCCGGCGCTGGGCCCCATGAACCTCGTCTTGTGATTGCAAGGATGATGCGGTCAGGCTAGCGACTGGCGGATCATTTCAGATACACTTACCAGAGCTGCCGAATGCCACTGCTGGGCCCCCGCCTGGGACGGCGGCGAGATCCTGGTCAGCGTCACGAGGTACTCGTGTTGCCCGAGGAGATGCCTGTCCGTCTCATGCAGATCCAGGGCGACCCTTGCCGGCAGTTCTTGAAGGGCCTGCTTGAGCTGGTTTCCGAATGGGTACTTTCTGCCCGTGATCGTCTCCAGCCTGCGCGGGTCCGCCTTCTCGAGCGCTTCAAAGGTGGAGAAGCCAGCTGCCAAGAGAGCCTGAAGAGGGGATTGCGAACAGAAGGATTGGAAAGCCCTCCTTCTAAAAAGGCATGGTATATTCCGTGAGACCTTTGCAGATTGTAACCCGCTGCATGTACGTAGGTTTTATGCTAGTAGGCCATGAAATTTTATATGTGGACACTCATGTCCGTGTCGTTTCGTCAAAATCAGAATCTTACCCTTTGTGTCATCGTCCCAACTCCGTGAAGCTGCTTCAGCAAGTTGGTGCTGTCTTCCCACATCCTTTGACGGAGACACTTTGCCAACGTCAGAGCCGCGACAGTCTCCTTGTAGCGTTTCTTAGAGGCGAAGTATTCACTCATACACCGTGCAATACGGGAGCCGTTCGAGCAGATTCCGGAAACGTCCTGCGGAAATGGAATGAAGAACCAACATAAACCAGCTGAAAACTGGCTCTCTCCAAGCATGGTGCGTCAGAATCCCAGAAAATGGCTAAAGAAACCAGGGTATGAAGTTACTGGTGTGAGAGTATTCAATGGAGGCAGCGTAATCAATCTCACGACGTGTTGCATACACTGTACTTACTTGGGTAAGCGTGAAGTCAAGTTGTGAAGGCTCTGCAGAGAGGGCATCGTTTGCAAGGACGAAGATCTTTTCTGGGTCCGTTTGAATCCTCTTTTTGGGCTTTCCGTTCGGACCCTCGACATGAAAACGGATCCGGCCAGAAGAGTCGTTGTTCATGTCGTTGAGCCTTTTCTTTTCGTCTCGCCTCAGCTTTATCCCTGCGGCAGGAGAAGAGAGTCATCGGGGCACTACAGCAGCGAGTGAGCTCCGACGAAAGGGTGACTATTTCTTCTGCACCTCAAAGTAGGCCGTCGCAGTCTGCGGATAACATCCTCGATGCAGCGCATCAATGGTTATAAACAGAATTCATATCACGCTCTCGTTACTTACAAGAGAGCTCCTCAGCGCTTGAAAGGATCGACAGAAGCTCTCGCAGGTCGCCCGCTTCTTCGGTCTGCGTGATGAGCTTCATGGTTGTGAAGCTCAAGTAGAACCTTGCCATGAGTCTCCCAGGTTCTGAAGAATGACAAGAAGAGATGCATGAGGATTTAGAAATCGTTGAAATCTCTGGTTTCAGACGGACTTGTGGCGAGGTGATACAAGGCGTTGAAATAAAAATTTGTGGGTCCTGTTCGAAAACATGGCTTGTAAAACTTTGATGAGCTCACCGAGCGGCTGTAGGACGAAGCCATCGTCGTCCATCTCAATGAGACCGTACTTTGCAAGCTCGTGGACGTTCTCAACGCAAATTCCTGCAAATAAAATGCAAGATTCCGAGAGCCGTCAGAAGGACACGTCAGTAAGCCCTGGACCCTTTTGTCTGTAAGTAAAGTCTACAAAGCTCCTGAAAGACGCCTATTTCTGTAAGTATTTGAGAGGAACAAAAGGATGGAGAAGTGCCTCAAAACGACGCGCAATGCCTCAGCCAAGCCCTATTTTCTTAGCAGGCTTTCCTTTGAGGAAGCGGAGATCGCAGTGTTTTTGTTGAGACGCTTACCTTTCAGCTTCTCTTCCAGCTGATACTCGTTCACGTTGGCCTCGATCCCGTAATGCTTGGGATTCTGTACCGATGCCCAAACCACGTTTAAACATCGAACTTGGAAACGGGCCAAAGTACACTACGTTTGTGGTTACCATCATTTTTACATTCTCAGTCATTGAAGAAAGTAACAATCTGAATGGAAAAAGGATCTGCTTACCTTCTTGACACGCACGTATAGGTATGAGTTCTTCAGCCAGTCTATTGCCAGGCTGATGTCTGTCACAGTAAGCAGCACAACTTCTGCATTGAGGTGTTCCACGAGGCAATGAAGCAGCCTGCAGCAGAACCAAAATGCGCCAATTGCATACCATCAGATCACTTTGCTTCAGACGATGCGTCCCATGATTGGGCGTTGAGTCTTCACACACTGAATTTAGTCGTTCTACATTCACCGTCTAGTGGAAACGTGACGTCCCTTTATTCAACCGGATTAAGTCATGTACAGTGCTATTTCACCTGGATACTGTTCTGTTGCATCTTGTGCGCTTTGAATCTTTCAACCGTTGGCCGCAAAAGATGACGGCTTACTCTGACTCGACCGGTTGGGACCCTGTCAAAAGATTCTGGTACATGTGCACCTGCAGCAAAAGTTACAACACTCAAGTTCAAGCACTAGTATTCGCGAGATTCATGCCGCATCGAAACTTCTCAAACTTCCCCCACGCTGTCCTTGTCGGTGCTTTCAGACGAATGCACTTAATCCGCAGCAGATGTAGTCTCTCACCGTCTCATTCCTCGTCATGATGACAACCGTGCCCGTATCGTCATACTGAGGCCGACCTGCTCTGCCAGCCATCTGCAAAATTACAGGTTTGTTTTGAGCGCCGCTTCTTTGATTTCTGGACAACCGTGTCAAGAAAGCTTTCAGAAATGCTTCGTCTCCGAAATATAAAAGCTGCTCTCGAATCTGTCGACAACTTCAACCATACCAGAAAACTGTGCTGGATACCTGAAGTATTGTTGACCGGTCGTACTCGACGTATCCACCTTTATCCTTGGCACTGCAGACCCAAAGTAGTGGATTCAACGTGACTGCGTGATTTAATCATGAGATTCGAAGCGAATCAAGGAGCTTGCAGCTTAGAATTGCTTTGTGAGTCTTTACGAGAACTACGACAGTTACAAACTGAGCTTGGGTGGATTGGGCTCGTACCGCATGCCTCAGCAGGTTGAGAGAAGCATCCGTGCATCTGAGGTCACTCCTGCCTATCACGTTCTCAAACAACCGGAATCTCTCGGCTTTGAAAACTCTTACTAGAATTGGGTCGATTTGATGACGACGAGGTGGGCAGGAAGGTTTACTCCATGGGCAAGCGTGCCGGTCGCGCAGACAACTTGCAGATCGGCTCTCTTGAAGAGTCCTTCAATTGCAAGTAAACCAGAAGATTCAGGATTGAGGAGGAAGCATGTCAATGACAGCAGGGCTCCAATTTGTGCTGCCACAAATGAATGACCAACAAGAGTCGCATGAGGGGACTCGAATAAGATAGTACGAAAGATCGTCAAAAGAACTAGGAAAAGCATCATCGAAGTAGAGTACCTTCGACGAGGGCGCGATCTTTCGCATCGAGCGCCGCGCTGTGGTATGCAACTGAACGAAACCACGAAAATCTTTTGTTATGAGTGACTCAAACAAGGCTAAAAGAGAACAGGCAGTAGCAGAGAGGATATTAGTGTCCTTATAGTAGGTGAGGACGCAGCACATGAATCAAATTCAACGATGTCGTGATGCACACGACCATGCATAATCCTGATACTCACTTCCGTGCTTGATGCATGATTGGAGAATCTTGTCTTGAACCGTCAAGGCAGCTCTTTGAAGTCTTTCGTATTGCTCTTGAGACTTGATGAAGGGGTTGCTCCACCCCGGCTTATTGGTGTGCGCCACGAGAGCCAGTGCTGCGTCGGATGTTCCTTTTCTGGTGCTGCAAAAGACGAGCGTCGGACGCCCACCGCTGTGCTGCATGATGATATCTGAAAAAGACAAAAGAAGACCACGTACAAAGATTAGAGTCTGGTGAAGCGGAACGAATATTTCTCTTGTTTGTCTGCGATGAACAAAAAGCTAGAAGATCACATGCTTTAGGAGCTTTGCACGAGGAATGCATGGAAAGCGGAACTCACCGTTCAGGTAGCTCAGAAGTTTCTGCAAGGAAACAGATTATATATCAGATGATTCTGTATGAGGGTACAGCTTGTCAGCAACATACTGGCCATTCGTTATCTGCAGGCTTTGTAAAGACTGCAGGGTTGCAGCAGACCTTTTTGGACAACGAGCACATGACCACCGTTGGCAGAGAATCATTCTGTCGTACGAAAAGACCGGTACAGAAGAGCGCTTACCTTCTCGAAGAGGAAGTCGTTTCTAGCCGCCGGATAGCCTGCACAGAGCGAAGGACGTTGAATAAAAGCTGGATTTTGGGTACATTTCAGAGGAAGACCTAGCAGGACAGAAGGAGCTTTGATCTATCCTATAAGATTTAGGTGGTCCCGCGAAACAGGCTCTACTCGAGACGATCGGCTTGTCTTACCATAGACCTTGGTGGTAAGTTGCACAGGTCTCACTTCCTCGCCGAATCTGTGATGGAGCAAGCAAACTCAAAGCCGTCAGGGACTGTTTAACCGAGGGGTAGAATCAGCGCAAAATCGTTTGGTTCGGCTGAAAATAAGGAAAGACGAGTTGTACGAAAGAGGTCCCAACCAAAGTGGTGAAAATCAAGTCGAACTTACACTTTTACACCTTGGACCGGACATCGAAGCCATTCTGCGATGTCTCTGATGTTGGGGATCGTGGCGCTGACGGCCATCAAACGGATCTTTGCAATAGGAAGGGACGTCATCTCGGGATACCTTGCAGACAAGAAAAAAACCGCTCATGGAAATCTTCGACCCAACACTGTCATGGAACGCAATCAATCAAGGCACGGGCGCAATTGCAGTCTGTTTTTGCCTTGATTGTCATAGAACATGGCTTCAGTGAAGTTGCATTCCACCTGCATGCATACAGGATTATTACTTACCTGGCTAGCATCTTCAATCGGCTGACAATGGCCTCCAATGCGGCACCTCTTGACTCATTTAGCAAGTGAACCTCGTCGATAAGGACAAGGGCAATGTCCCCGAAAAATGACATGCCTCCTGAATCATTTCTCTTTCTCGTCAAGGAGTCAAACTTCTCAGGCGTCGTGAGGATTATGTCAGCATCTTGAAGCTCCTTCAGTTGCGCGATATCGCTGTCACCTGCAAGGCGTTGGCGTGTCAATCTTCACTGTCAGTAAAAGCAGATGTCATTTCGTCAAAGACTTCTCCGTTCTTGAAGCAAATGCCTTGTAGGGACCAGATGCTTTCTGAGAATTACTCCCATCCAAATTATTTACTCACCTGTAAGCTCTCGACAGCATAGACCCAATCGACCTCCAAACTTCTCCTCCCATTCTGCCAGCTTCTCTTGGACTAGTGCCTGAAAAGGCAGATAATGGATCACCGTGGGTGACTCCTTTTACCGCATCTGACCGGAGAATCTGCCAGATTAAGGTAGTTGTCGCAAGACAGACAGTTTGATTCAAGCACTCGTTGAGGCCCCGCCTTTTTCCGTGACCGTTCCCCCGAGCTTCACAAACAGATGCAACAGATTCCGATCGACACGTAGACTCACCTTCATTGGGGCAATGTAAACCTGCAGTTCAAGACATTTTCTCCGGTCAGTCAAAGAGAGGACATAATTTCTTCAAGAGGAAAACGTTATGGCCTGAGCCAATTCTGTCGGATTCCAAATTTTGCTATGTTTACGTATTGAAGGCACTGCCCCAGTCTTAGGTTACAGTACTGAAATTTCTTGCGCATCCAAATATCTGCAAACAGGGTACTGTACGAAACCCAACTACAATGCATCTCACCGTTTTCAGCAGACCAGGCTGGTGAACAAATGCTCCGTCTCGATCGAGGAAGCGTGTCAGTAGGCGCAGGATCGCCAATTCAAAGAGGACAGTCTTTCCGCATCCAGTCGGAGCTGCTCGCAAAACAACGAAAGACAGTGAGGACCACTTTTACTATGGTACAACCGAATGGTACCTGTTTTTGCTCCTGCTCACGGATGGATAAAGTCTGATAATATCGATTACTTTCAGGAGGAATGAAGATCGGATCAAACCCCTGAGACTCACCTGCAACGACTAGATTGTGGTCCGATTCATACGCTTCCCTGAACGTGTCACTCTGGACCGAGTTGAAGTACCTGGCAGGACACGCAGCCCCACGATGAGTTCTCTGCTTTTCGTGGGGCTGTTGTAAATACGGTGCAAGCATCTCAATCCAACTTGTTTTGAAGACAGGTGACCTTGGGTAATTCTGTGATTTAGCCATAAATTCCTACGCCGGAAGAATGCGCATTTGACGGAACACGTGCTCACTGAAACTTGCCTGAAATCGAAAACGTTCTGGAAGCAGAACGGTAAGGCGGTCACCGCTTTCAAGGCATAGGACTCCATCTGGACTGCACACAGAGGTCAACGTAGTTGATTTCCGACCCGCCAGGTTTGCTGGTACAATTAGCTGCTCAAGAAAACCTTGACGATGATGAGGTCAGACTGCCGAGTCTTCGTTTCGAGAGGCCCTCAAGTAGTCGACTCCATGAACGATTGGTGACACAGTACGATTTGATGCACGCGCTCTTGAAATCTTAAAAGGCTCCGTGGCCTTTTGATTATGAGCCTCTTAAAGAACAATTATCTCATGCAACGACCTCGCAGCACGCTTTCCTTGGATCACTTGTGTCTCACTGTCCTAAATTGTGTTGAAGTCGGCTTCAAATGTATCAAGAAACTTCACAGTTCCTTTGAGATGTGTCAGTAATCACCCCATGGTTCAATACGTACCTGAGTTGAAACGCAAATTGCATCATTTTTGACCTTCCGAAGGAACAACTCGTTTCGATCTGGACTAAGAGCTCACCTCACTTTTGCTTCCTCCTTCCGAAAGCAATTTTGGTGATCAGGGGGATTCGGAGAGGAAGCCCTTCTGATCAGAAGCAGTCTTTCAGTCTTTGCATAGATATAAGATGGACCTGAAAGACCCGTCAAGGTCTTCTTAGTCCCCACGCCCCCCTCTTGACGCAAATTTTGTGCCCACGTTTTCAAGTGCTCATATTGCAGATTGCTTGAAAGACTATGCGCATGCTCTGCCCTCTAGCTGACATACTGCTGCACCCCTGCTCCTCCTTGAGCATCTTAGTCGGATCATTGTGGACATGAGCTTCCTTCATATGGAGGTAAGACCTAGCGCCGAACTGCTACCCTGTTTCACACTTTTACCAGGGCGGCCGGCCGCTGGACGTTTGGCGCACCCAGCCGCCCGCGGGTCGCCCGTAGAGTTCTGACGCGGCCGCGTACGGGCCGGCGGGCGGCCGTCAAGGCCGGGCGTCAATCGCGCGCGCATTGCGCGATCTTGTATACCCCTACAGCGCGCGCACACAGGGTACATACGGTACGCACGTACCGTCCATTGCAGGGCTCAGGGTTTAGAAGAACGATGCTCCGATCGAGAGCTGACTGAGTCAAGTCACTAGCTGCGCGACGTGACGGTTGGCGGCGCAGGCCGCGGGCGCGCATCGCGCGCGGCCCCATCAACATGAGCCGCCTGCAAATTGTCTGGTCAGGACTGGTCAAGACGGGGCGCCTTTTTTATCAAAACATATCCAAGATCGACCTAGGTGCCTTCTTCAGGCAACTTGGCAACCAAAGTCTTTGCTTCAGATTCTACCTCTTGAGCGGAGAGCCGAAACGTGTTGAATGTTGCAGGAATGTTGCATCTTCTCGTGGAGAAGCAGATCGGACTACCTCTGTTTGTCGCCCTAGACGCAGAGTAGTGGGTGAAGTTGGTGTCCCGGGTTTTATTAGCCGATGATGTACGGTGCGGCACAGCGAAGCAGCAGGTTCTGCGAAAGACCCAGGCGTGCTTAAGTAATAAGGAACCAGCATTTGATGCACAAATCTAGGCTCGTGTTTTGAGCCATGGCAGAAGTGTCGTCTGCGGATGACACGCAATTCGTTGTGGCCCTTATAGAGAATCGAGCGAAGGTAACCACTTCCCTTTTTGCTTTTTGAAGTGGAATTGTAGGCTACGTTGTGCGCTGCTTGGAGGAAGCTGTGGTATGCAGATATAGCTTCCTGTGTCAGGTCTGAAATTGTTGACTGTCGAGGAGTGTAAGACCATCTGATGTGTAGCTCAAGGTTTTTCTCCTTAACGAAGCATTAGAACGGCTTTTGCTAGCAGCTTATCCATCCATAGAGCACCGCTGCCCACGAACGGCTTCAAAAATATTTCAGAAACACTTGGCAACAATCAAGGCTTGCCAACTCTTTTCCGTGCAGGAAGTTGGCATGGCTGCATTTGATCTAAGAACGGCTTCCTTACACCTCTCACAGTACATAGAGTCATCCAGGTCATACCAGAACACCTTGACCTTGCTTCAATACTTCGACCCAACAGAACTGATCACGTGTGCAAGCAACACTGACGGCATCGCGTCCCTGATCGAGCATTCTAGCCTTACGAGCGCACGGAAGTTAAGAAGCCCCACTCTTCAACAGCGATCTGAATCCTGTTCGACAATAAACCTCGCAATTGCAACAGACTAGGCCTGCTGAATTTTGGTTGTAAGCACAATGATTCTTCATGAATTGACTTGAAGAGAGATGCGGCTTTTAACTACAGACGAATGTGCAGTAAGATCTGCGAAAGCGGTGAATCCTGAAGCATCCCGTCTTTTTGTTGACAGACAGCTGTACAAAGGGGGTGTTTTGACGACACAAAGGTAAGCTCTGTTGTGAACTCCTTGCGCTGATGTCACATGTCCGTTGCAGCAAGAAATAATGACCTCCTCATACTTCAGACCTCTTAGATTAGCTTTCAGTTTATGACGAAGCTGACTCTTCGATCCTGTTCAGGGTGCTCTTCTCGTGCGGAGTTTTGCTGTCACGACAGACTCCACCAATACAAATCTGGACTCGTATTACAAGCAGTATTATCTGGCCCTCGGAGCTGCTTCCGCTGCTCTGAAATGGTAAGCGTCCCAGATTACCTGACGTCGATGCTTATCTGTCTTTCAAAACATTGGTGTTTAGAATACCATCTGGTCGGTCAGCTGCTGGATCTTCAAAGATGGATTCTGTAACGCTAAAATAGGCTGAAGGCGATATCTACGTTTCTGAATGGCGAGCTGGTCTGCTTGCCTTGCAGGGTTGAGTGCGAGAAGGGTATCCTCATCACTAGCCACTCTCTGAAGGTAAACTTACTCAACCTCAAACTTCAATCGGGTGTCGCATTTCCAAGAACCTCTTTGGAAAAGGCCAAATATTTCTACATTTTACTATGCTTTTCGGTCAATCTTGACCAACTTGCATGACACATGTTGCAACCGTGCGCTACCGCTCCAAAGGATAGAGACTTACACAAGGATACTCGCTTTGCAGGTCACATACAATGGTAGCTACGACCACATGAATATCGACTCAACAAGGTGATTGGCCAGATCTGGACCTCAGCGGCTACGATTCCAGGATCTCATTCCGTTAGTGCGTATACTGAAATATCTGGCAACTTCATATGCTTCTGGGACATTCGACCTGCTCCTTGTCTCGATTAGTAACCACCTTACACACATGCACTTGCACTTGAACACATACTGCTTGAAATTTCCGCTTCAGAGCTTCCTGTCGCTGTCTTCCGTTCGCAGTGTCCAGAATCTTGAAATCATAGCGCCTCTGTGGTGTTCTCCGAGTACGTCCTCCGCCAAGGCAAAGAAGGGAAGTCTCTTTGGCATCTTGAATAACACAAAGACAGTTTGCGGGTAAGTCCTTTTAAAAGAATCCGTACATCTTGATGGTACAAATCTCATACCTCTCTGCAACTGAATTTTTGACAGATTGGTTTGTTCAGGACTTGCGTTGAGCCGCTTCTCGACCTTATTATGCGTGAGAAACCAACAAAATTAAACTTCGATGCAGGAGTCGACTGCTGAAAGCAAATCTGCTTCAGCCACTGAAGGACATCGAGACCATAAACACGAGACTTGACTGTCTGGTAAGCATCCTCTAATGAGCAAGTTGACTATCAATCACCTTTTCAATGATTTAAAATTCCAACAGCATTTCGTCGCACCAACCCGCAACACTTGTGCTTGCTAGTCACTTACTACAAACTTTAGCGGGCCCCACTATATTCGAAGAGCCATTCGATTTTCGCAAAACTACATGGCTGTGCAGGACAACCTCGTGGACGATGAGAACCTCTTCTTCAGTATCCAGCAAGTAATGTCTAAAGTACCAAAAGACATAGGTAAGAACGAGAATCTGGACGGGTCTCCTTCTTGCGGAAGGAGATGAGAGGATAACATGGTATCTTTTCCGGCATCCCGCATCCTTGGCTTAGTATCAACCGCCTTAAACACTGCAATCTTTATCATAGATTGACTTCGTGGCTATCATATTGAGCCGCTAAGTGCAATCCTTTCGTGGTGTCACATCTTTTAGCCGTCGACGGGCGTGATCCAAAGCTCATGCCGTTGCGTTGCGACTCGGATACCTTCGTTCTTCCTGCAGATCGCGTCTTTTCGCAGTTTGCCTATAAACTGAAAAAGTCGATGAACATGGAAAGCAGTGGAGCCACCACGATGCGACGCAATCAGCAACTGGTCGCTGGAATCATCCTTCTCAAGGAGGCTCTTGCGTTGATACCAAGCCTCGCCGAGGTAAGAGCAGAGAAACTTGAAATTGCAGGCGCTGACCGCGTATATTTGTCGTGTTCGAAACTCCTCGTCTGATTCAAGCATTTATTTGGAGACTTCGAAAGTGCTTTGCTAGTAGTGGCCATGTTACTGAGCTCACTTACTTTCGTCTGAATTTTATCAAATTTTGAGAGGTGAATTCTGCGGCCGCCTCTGTGATGAGTTTCAGCCCCCTGGCTCCATGTGCAGGTTCTCTCTCAGGCGAGCTGCTCACTTCTCGAGAACATCAGGGACTCTGTTTGCCTCCATCCGAAAGTGAAGGAGCTTCAAGATAGGTGAGGCTTCCTCATCCTAACACGATCCACAAATGACGACAGAGGAAACTTTCTGACTTGATTCGAACGGACGGATGCAGAACCATTAGAGTGCTTTGAAGCCCTGAGCTCACAACCGGTAGAAATAATCGCTTCCTTTCCTACCCGTTCAAGGTCATTTAATTCGGTCAGCTTCAGAACTGGTAGTAAGAATTGCTTTCTTTCCTACCCGATCAAGGTCATTTACTTCGGTCATTCCATTTTGTTCCGCAGTATCGACGACATCATCGATGAGGATGTCTTGCACTCCCGCCAAGCTTTCGTGGCCCGCACGCAGCAGTGCTTTGCGGTGAAAGCGGGTTTGGACGGCTTTTTGGACGTAGCGAGAAAGGCTTTCTGTGAAACCACTGAAGGTAAGAGGCATGCAGACTCAATGTAAACTCAAGCCCCCAGGACTCGCTGCATTTCGAACGAGATCCGCGGGTCTCATCGGAAGGAACGTAATCTCCTGGCCTTTCGCATCTGAGAATCTTGCCAGAATCCACTAATTTCAAGATAAGCTTGATTTTCTGGGAAATAAAGACTCCGTTGGCGTTTGTCTCGCAGATATGCACGAGCTGGCAAAGCGATACCGAGAGGAGTATGATCTCCCGAACTTGAAGCTGCCGTACAACGGGAAACAGGGCTTCTACATCAGTATCCCTGCGAAGGACGTGGAGACCGAGCCTTTGCCAAGGATCTTCATTCAGGTGACTAAAGATACAGCTTGCAACGTCGTCCAGTACAGCGCGTTCTTGTTCCGGGCATGCCCGCAATCCCGTGTAATAATATGTCGAGAGTCACTTCGGAGTCCAACCCAGATTCTGAAGCAGATGTAGATGACTCCTTCCGCAGCTAGTCCAGATATGAAGAGTAAGCCAATTTCTTTCATCTTCTTTATTGCAGGTTACGAAGCACGGGAAGAACATCTTCTGCTCCACGCAGGAGCTTGTAGCTGTGAGGATTTCTCATCACCCTTTCAAGTTTCCAGATCCATCGAAAGCCTAGCATGGTAAAAGCCTTCTGATTTGAGTCCCTTGGAGGAGGCGTCTTCTGTCAGTCTAAACTGGTTCTTTTCTTCATCTTGAGCCTTTGATGCTGCTCCTTTCGTGGCTCCTTACTCCATCAAATTGGTATTCTCGTACCATCTTCAAGTTTCTGGAAAGTCACGAATGTGATCTGAACATCTTGCTTCTATTGTTTCATGTCGCAGTTGAACGTTCGAAACAAAGAAGCTGCTGCCGACTGCTATTCGAGAACGGAGAGGGCTCTTGAAGGTATACTCGTGACTCCAGTCAGACGACAATAATCGTGTTTCTGAAATACGGTCTCGAACACTGTTCTTGTCGCTCGTCCTCACAGTCCATTCGTCTTCTAGGTCGGTAGACATATGCAATCATCCATTGCAGATGCTTAGCATTCCCGGCACAACCCAAAAACTCCTGATCGATCCGGGGATTTTCGTTCTCTTGCAGGGCTGTGCCAGACCATCCGTGAGAACATCCAGTTGCTCATGCTCCTCTCGGAGTCTGTGGCTATGCTGGACATGCTGGTCAACTCCTTCGCGCACATCGTCTCGACGAGCGCGCCGGAGACCTACCACCGACCAGAGTTCACAGGTACTCAAAGATCTTCAGATGCACGGGTAAAATCTGGCCTGAGCTTCGAGTCAGGTCGCAACACTTCAAAACACTCTGCTCTTGTTGCTGGAGCCGGACGTCTGGTAAAGGATTGTATTGATCAAAATTGAAAGTCGCGTTCCTTTGTGCAGAGGATGGGCCCATCGCTATCGATGCCGGCCGCCATCCGATCGTCGAGGGCCTACATTCTGACACGCCTTTTGTTGTAAGGGGCCTTTACATCAGCTGATCCTTGCGATCCTTCATTGGATCTTCAATTGAATTTGCTTGGGATCTGTGTCCGCAGAAGCAAACCGTCTTCGCTCGGTATCACATAGAGTCTAGAGATCAAACACCGCAGAAAAGAAAGGCATTAGACCTCATCCACCTTATCAAGTGTTATTGATCCGAGATTTTGTTTTAGCCTTTTACTTCGAACCTTGTTCGAACAAGACCGATCGATCTTAGTATATATTCTCTCATTTTTCCCGCTTCTATTGTTTCCAGGCAAACAGCACCTTTCTCTCGGAGGCTTCTAACATGATGATCGTAACAGGGCCCAACATGTAAGCCCAGCTTTTTCGTAGTTTCTCAGAAACCCGGTTTGACGATTGAGATGGGTTAGCTCCTCCGTTTGGGTATCAGAAACTGTCAGAAACTGCAAAAGCAGAGCCGCTCCTGGGTGTTCTCGGAGTGAATATGGAGCAGAAGGTGGAAGCAGAGATTTAGATAAACTTCATGAAGCATTACTGCTTTTTCCACAGGAGCGGCAAGAGCACTTACCTCAAGCAGGTCAGCCTGATCGCGGTCATGGCACATGTTGGCTGCTACGTTCCCGCGCGATACGCGTCTTTCCGTGTGGTAGACAAGCTGTTTACCAGGATTGGCGCTGGAGACAATCTGGAGAGCAACTCGAGCACCGTAAGCTTCATCGACCCGTCAAGCCTCGGTAACTTACTGACTCTCAATCTGCAGACTGAAAGTATCACGAATGCCTTTGAGCGGGATCAGAGCAACACTGCTAATTCGAAGGCCGTTCAGAAACTCTCTTCACAAATCGTGGAGGGAATGTCCAGTCCGAATTCTTCGACGAGATGGCCATACAGTTCACCCTCAAGAAATGCGAACTGCCAATCTGCACTCGTCTTCTCGCCTGCTCATGTAACTTTCTGCGATGGCCTTCCTCCTGCAGTTTATGACTGAGATGCGCGAGACGGCCTTTCTCATGCAGAACATGACTTCCAGGTGGGATCACCAACCACCCGATGAGACCTGAAAGAAAGCTTGCTTTGTTTTTCTGCCTTCATACGCACGACTTCCTTAACCTAGATGTTCTTCCTTTTATGTGATTCTGACCCGCTACCGCTGGGAAGCGTGGGTGAAGGTATATCCAACGATCCTTTGCTCGCGTCAGAGCCTCTCTTCCTATGTGCATTCAAGGTCCTGCACATCTTGTAAGTTCTGCGCTCTAAGCTTTTCTTCTCACCTCCGGCTCAGACATAGCCGTTTTTTGTTGCAGGAGCCTCATCGTGATAGACGAGCTGGGGAGGGCTACGTCCAGCACCGACGGTCTTGCAATAGCGTGGGCATGTAGCGAGGCGTTGCTAGCAACAAAGGGGTGAGGAAAGAAGCACCTTCGCAGCGCTTTCAAAGATGTCGCTTCTCATGTACTCTCCTAATGAGGCAGCACATTCCTGTCCCCTACGTTGTCCAGCGACACTTCTTTTCACCGTCTTCTTCCCTCGGTCTGCTATACCAATCAGGAGACAAGCTCGGACAAGCCATTGCTGGAGAGAGGTCTCATGAAAAGATCAATATCTTAGCCAAGCGCACCCGTTTGCCAGCCTGCTGCTGTCGAGATTTGCAGGTACGTTGTCTTCGCTACCCACATGTCGCGCCTGGCCGAGCTCTCGAGCATCTACCCGAACGTGAAGGTGTGCTTCCTTTCCGTCGCGGTCGACAACAACCGGCTCGACTTCCAGTACAACCTCCGGGAAGGCTACACGGACGTGCCGCACTACGGGGTGCTTCTGGCGGAAGTTGCGGGCATGCCGTCGGAGGTCATTCAGGACGCGAGAAGGATCGCGCAGAAGCTCGATGACCAGGTGAGAAGCAGCGGACTCCCTGGTTTTGCGTTCGATTTATCGACTGAAGCGTCGAACTTGGTCTGCTTTCTGATTAACTTTAGCACGAAGCTTGAAACCATTTTCCGAGATTTCCGTCTCTTGTCTTCCCAGCCGAGAAACGCGTCATCGGGATGGTCGTTGAAGGCCGTGCATTTCTCTGCATAAGTATTTGGACTTGTTCTGTTGACTAATTGTCTGCAGCCATGATGCGCTGAACATCAAGGTTTGCATTGGATGCAGGAAACAAAACGGCTTGATTCCGGGTATTCCGCTTACCTCAATCTCCGGAAGGACTACTACGTTGCGCAGCGGCTGCTTTGCTTGCGTTACGCAAACTTAGAGGAAGAGTCGATGAGGGAGTACTTGCAGAATCTCAAGGACCAGTATCTCGATGGGCAGATTGGATGAATCAGTAAACGGTAGACGGTCATGCTTTCAGCCGCGTTCAACGGGAGACTTCCGGCTTGAATCCGCTGCGCGCGTTCTGGCGGAAGTATTGCTTGTCGGCTCCTCAAATGTTGGTTTGGTCCTGCTCTCTGAGCTTAGGTGCACGTCTGTACACAATGCTCCAAAGCGCACGGCAACCGCAGTTTTCCTCAGCTCTAAAAATCAACACACCACATGGTCTTGAATACGCAGCTTTATGTTACGTGGTCATAGGCGCGCTTCGCGATCTTACGCTTGAAGAGCGACAAGCAAGAGGATACGTCCGCAGACCCCCTAACGCTTTGGCTCGATTACCATGTGCTCCATGTTTGCAGCGCGTGATCGAAAGACCGATATGTGGAAGCTCATGACGTAGCGTTTGGCGCTCTTAAAGGCTCGTCCTGTATCTTTGTTCTGAAGGCAATTTTTGCGTTGTGATGCTCATGATCGGCTATCTGATTACTCAAGGCGTACGTCAAGCTGCCAGCAATTGGTCCATATACGCAGAATATGCGCATGAGGCCCACTGCCAACCTGGGCCACCCTGGCCAGTCACTGAGTCAATTGCGAGCATGCAAGCTGGGTGCTGAGCGAAATTCAATGGACTCAGAAGTGTTCGTAGTGAGCTCTAGCTAGCGTGTACGTTGACGTACGCATGTGGGTCGATTGCCGCAAAGCAACGGGAGAAGGCTGCTTCCAAGCCATGGCTATCCAGCAATCACAGATAGCGGCAGTGTGCGTGCTGCTAGATACATATGTCTTATAGAGTCGAAGGACACGTACCTGATATATACATACGAGCGCAGACTGTCCAGCGACACCATTCTTCCAGGATATTCGTTTGCACGCCCCGAACTGACCGAGTGCAGAGAATGTCACAGTGAAATTTGCCCACTAACCACTATCTGCATGAACTTTGCATGCCACTTCCTGATTTGATGTGGAGCGCGATCGGTCCAGATGAGATTGCCAGTCATCATCTCTGGGTTTTCTGTATGTATGTATCCAACACTTTCATCATTATAAATATGGATCTGACTGAGCTTGCTCTAATATACAAATGCACTGTATGTTCTATTATATATGGCTCCGTTCCCCAATCCAGGCTTGTTCGAGATTTTTCTTGATATCTTGCCTCGCCCGCTACTCGCTAAGCACACTTGCCTGACAAATCATTCTGCGAGCGACGTTCTAATCCTTGGGAGTATAGATGAGAGGTGTGTACTGCGGCGACCACATTTGACTTGCAATCAGCTCTTTCAACCCTGCCTGCATTACGAGAAATGCAGGTCCCGTTCAAATACGCAGGCCGAAGTCTCGGACGGGCTCGGTCACAAAAGAAGAAGCAAGAAGGAAGCAAAGCAAAGCAAAGGGGCAGGATCCGTGTCTAGGAAACTTCTTACGAAGACAACTTGCAAAATACGAAAGAGGAGGCCTCAAACAGACGTCTTCCAAGGAGACATGACTACTTTGACTGGGTGCTGACCATCCGACCACTGATTCTATGGCTCCGGTCCTCTGAATTCGTGCAGAACGCTTTTTCCTCTCAAAAAAATCTACTTTAATGTCGGAGGTCCAACGTGAACCTCGATGCCCAATGCAAAAAGAGCACTCAAAACGGCGCAGATCGGCAGAGAACGACGATTCAGGGTAAATGCATTGATGGCAGGAACAAACGCTTATCAGAGGAAGTACCTCTGTCATGGCCCCCAGCTGGCGCGGCTTTATTCGCAGGCTCCCCCGGAAGTACCCGTCCGCCAAGTCCTCCTCGACCGCCTTTTTGACAATCGCCGATGCAATTTCCACCGATATGGAGCGAATCCTGCCACCAACACAAATCAGAACTCAGCATCGCACAGAAGGAAAGGCTGGTCAAAGTTGTCTTTTGGGAACTTTTCGGAATGCTGCCGCCTTAAAATGGTCCTTGGTTGCGAGCGGAAGCGTAATCTCAGGTGTGCAGATTGTATGTGTCCTTCGTCTGACGGCCAGAGCAAAAAGCTCGTTCTTACTTTTGGGTCCACGACAAACTACATGAAGCCATGATAAGGCTCATTTACAGTCCAGTTTGCAACAGACGTCTTTCCTTTGGCACGGATCATCTTCAAAGATCAGCATCGTCGTAGCAACCGCGCTTATCAGGGCCGGAATCCGCACGGAACGAGCTCGTTTGCAACAGTTGAGCAGCTTCCCGCCCTCGAAAAGATGGCTTAAGGGGTGCGGCACGGTAAGCGACCGAAAGCTTACTGTTCTATGGGCGGGTAGAGGATCCCTTGTTTCACCACTTCGTCCGGAACTAGGGCCGCCAGCCTGCAGCACGAAAGATACGATTGGCATAAGGGACCAACTTCACAGAAGTGGCGGACGACGATCATTGGTATTTTTCTGACTCCTTTTCTAATCTCTTCATCTGATGGCGAGGGTCCGTCGGATTTGCCGAACCTAGCCTTTAAATGACATAGATAAGCATCAGTTATTGTCATCACGTGCGCGCACTTTTGAGCACCCGTAAAGACCTTCCTCAGACCAGCAGTCGATATTGATCAGCTGACGCGCGACAATCCACAACCCTCTCGTTCTTTCCGCACACCATATCCTGTTTGACTTTTGCGGGGTCTGCAGACCCGCTGTCTTGAAAACCTCGGAAAAGATTCTACGATGACAATCTTGTCGTAGCTTGCAACATCGTACAGCTCACAATACTCTACAGCGACCGCGGAGCTTTGCACAGTTGTTTGCGCAAACACCACTTTTTTCGAAATAAATAGAGACACCCACCGTTCAGTCGCTGCATGTAGCATCCCGTCCGAGATTGTCCGCGCCCCGCACAGCATCGTGCCGAGACCAATCCTGCAATCAAAGAGAACGAAGCATCAGCACCATCCGCTCAAAGCTGTTACTGCAATTCAACGCCGTCCGAGACACGAAGGCCGGCGACCCGCTGGCAGAGGCGCCAGCTCAAAAGGGGCCGAACTCAAATCCTCCAGACGAATTCGACAGGAACGGGGGACATACATTCGCAAGAGCCTGCTCACTTCACGACTCCCCGCAAGAAAGGTGTGCTGGCTAACGGCACTTCACTCGACGGCGGCGCCAAACACGACAGGTTTTCAAGCAAAAATAGTTGTTCGATGCTGCTAGTCAGAGGCAGAAGTCTACGGATAGGGCGGGGTAACAGCCCTTGGGGACAAAGATCGTGCCGCCTTACCCTGGAAATAGGTACATGTTGTTCCTGCACAACAAGCGTTCCATCACCGTTAAGTCTCCTTTGAAGGGAGAAACATCGCGCGTCCGACTTGGCAAGGCTGAAAGAGCCGTCGCCTCACCCGCTCTTCGAGACGAGAATCGCAGAACAGAGAAGAAGGCAATAGCAGCTTTCCGAACCCCTCGACTTCGATCGAATCAAAAAAGTGGCCGGTCGTGATCGAAGTTGGACCTGCTGCATCCTACGAAGCGTGCCTTTTGCTCCGAAGGCACGCTTCATAGGATTCAGCCCAAGCTGGGCATGAACCACGTACATCGAGCTTTCAACCGCGAGAAAGTGGGAACAGGGAAGCGGCATCAGTTTAAGCGACTTCCAAAGGTTCAACCATTCCGACGGTTCAAGTTTACGTCCAGACAATCCAGCTTATTCAGTCCCGATGCAAAGATCGTGGTCCAACACGTGTCCGCATCTGGTCATCTAAGTGAAGACCGCTTATATCGCAGTTTGCAATTTCATGTCAAGTGGAATTGACGTGTGAGATACAAGTCGCAGCTGCTCACCCTTGATTCGTGTGGCACACCCGGCCATCATCTGCAGATGGAAAGCAAGCGCTTCTTAGAGACCCAGATTAGCAAAATTAAAAACCCGTGACGTCATGCAAACCCTTAGCATTTGCGGCTGACATAAGGATCCAGACAGTCGACCTCAGTCCTTCTGAAAGGAAGATCAAGTCTGGCGATATGTTGATCATATCAGCACAGAGGCGCAGAACCAGAAGCTGGACTTAGACGTGACGTAAAGCAAAGGACGAGCGTACAGACGTCAAGGGTGTTTAAGCGAAAGTGCCCGGGGAGTCTTACCGAGCACAACGTCAGGGAAGGGGCTGCCGCTCGCAAAGATGGCGCGGCCGTCCGAGGCCTTGAACACCGCTTCCGCGGTGGCTTCCGCTGCAGAAACATGGTTAGACATTGTTAATACAGATTTTAGCATCGGGTTAAAAGAGTTAGAGACGGGGTCAGAAACGGGTTGTGAGTGCTTAAGGCAAACGGGCCAGGAACACCAGGCTTCTGCGGCGGGAACAGGATCTCAGAAAAGGGTTGGCATCGGGATCAAAGTGGCTTGATACGAGGTCACAAACGGGTTTCGAGTGGTTAGGAAAGGGGCCAGGAAAACCGCGGTGGCTTACACCGCAAAAACAGGGTTTGATATTGTCAGGGAAGGGGTCACGTTCAGGGTTCTAATGGTTAGGAAGAGGTCTTGAACGGATTTCAAGTGTTTGAATCTGCCCAGGACGAAGATTGGAAACGATGGATCGGAGGAGTGAGAATGCAGACGACTGTCAAATGGGAGGCTCATAATTGCTGATTGCTGGAGGGGATTGCAAACCAGGGAACAGTTGGTTGAAAGCCGGGAGTTGTCAAGCTGAAATGGTTTTGGAGATTCTACTGAATAGATATGACGTAAGGAGTTCTGGACGAGTACGTGGTCTTCTAATCTATCCCTGATGCTTGCGACCGGTTCGGTAGAGACACCGTCCAGATCCCTTGCAAAGTTTGTTCGCAAGGACTTCCCGACCTTGTAAGGACGTACCTACAAATCTCAGGGCCTACGAACCCAGACGATTGAAAACCTTCGATGCTAAATCCTGAAGCCCTGCACGCCTCTACTGGTTATGTAGGGCCACCACAGGGCTCACCTTTACTGGTCGGGTTGGACATGGGAAAGATAACGGGGCGGTCCCGCTTGGCCATCTCCCGTAGAATCTGCACGCAGGGATTAAAGAAGGCGTCTACGTGACGTCAGCACCGGTCACATAAAGCAGAGACTTTTGCTCGGGGAAAAGACCGCTGATACCAGTTTCAGGCGACTGCGTATCACAAATCCATGCTTCGATGTCGCTTCTGTGACGTCATGTAGGACCGGTCCTGCGACGCCCTCTTTAAGGGGTCTGAGGTCATTGTAGTGTGTAGGAGGTTCAGGAGATTTAAGCTTCTGGAAAGCAACTCTCTGGTACAGCGAGTGGAGCAGTCGACCATGCAGAAATTGACATGAGTGGAAGAACCACAAACGCAAAATCACGTTTCGACTTGAAGAGTGCAACGCCGAGGAGGGTCGCCCGGAAAGGTTGTGCAAGCAAGCTGACGTCACCGACAGAAGAGAGCCAAGGTGCCATGGGCTCGAGCATGACAAGAAAAGCCTACCTCCTTATTGAAGAGCCCGCCACAACCTGACAGGCCGATGAGGAAGTCTGGCTTCACTTCTTGGATCTGCGAAAACAGAGTGAAGTTTGGTCGTACGAGCCAGGTTTCAAAGTTCGTTCGGAAGAGGTCCCGGGCTTGTAGATGGTTTCTTTCGGTATAGCCCAGGGGGCGAAGAAAAAGTTTTGTGATGGACGGATTTATCTACGGGTCCTCACCTAACGATCAAGCGTTCGATTCCTAGCAACAGCAACAACGTCAACTCATTAAATTCTGCATCTATCAACTTGTGCATGTTCAATGTACTGCTGAAGTTCTATTGCTAAGAATCTATATGGGAGCCCGCTTGACTGAGGCGACTGCGTTGGAAGTAGAACAGCAGCGTAGGATTCCATTTCTTATTCGAAACCAGTCGCGCAGGGCCCAGCAGCACATAGGCGGCAACTATGCAATGCCATTACGTCGTTCCCCTTTCCGGCTCCCATATGCCGCACCTCTCACAAAACGCTCGTCAAACCAAACCACTGAAAACCTTTCCTTTTTGCACGAGGGAGACTGGGGGCTGTTGTAAGATCTCCGATTGTTAAGCCTTACGTCCCAATCTCAACTTCAAACGATACAGGCTGCATGCTGTCATGGACTTGGTGAGTGATCGACAGGACAGGATGATTGGGAGGTCTCACCACTTTGAGGAGGTTCGCACCCTCGGGCAGAGCGTTCTCCCCCGGGTCGCGTGCATATGCGCTGTACAGTGGGAGTAGCGGCTTCCGGTCCTTGGTGATGAGGCCCTGGAAACGGTGACACGTGGCAGGGATCAGGACGACACGGGGAAGAAAGAAGACAACAGAGGCTTGCGGGCTGAACAAGACAAAGCTGCTCAAGGCAAACGGAATGTGAGCCTGTCAAAGAGTGACTACCCATGCTTTTTTTGAGAAGCTTGGCTTGAAACGATCCACGCGTACCTTGTCGACCTGCGCGCTTATGCCGTGATGAGCTGAGGGAGAGTGCCTCAGTCAACAAATAGCATCAAAGAGTGTATCGGTAAAGCCGTGAGCCTATGGATTCTTCGTCAGTGCAAAATTGGCCGCTGTTAGAGCTGTTTACCGTTCATCTGACAACCCTCGGCGTGAAAGCTCGAGACAGCTACGGCCCTTCAATATTTCGTCAACAGTAAGCACCCAGCAACAAAGTTCTGGTTCCATTCGAGCACGAGATTCTTGAGCCACAGTGAGCACCTCAAGCTGACGTCTGAAGCTGTTCTGAAACTTCAATAGATGCAAAGTGTTTTGGTGTGAATCGGCATCAAGAGAGTTTCCAAGTAGACAAACCAGAGAGGTGATTCGCCCGGCTGCAATTGCGTTGGAAGAGCGGGCTCTCGAATGGCTGCCACTTACATCCTTGTCGACGAGCCAGAAGTTGTGCAGTGCGTGCGCCATGGCGGGCTGGGCGCCCCCCAGGGCCTGGGCCATGTTCTGACGCACCATGTCGACCAGACCCATGCCGGCGCTGCAGTGGAAAGAAATATATTTTCTCTTTTCAAGAGTAAGCTTGAAGGGGACGATCAGCCTTCATCCAACTGCGGACCATGTCGAGAACAAGACCCATGTCAGCGCTGCAGCAGAGAATGAAAAGGACGAGTAGGATAAACGACTGAAAAGGGTCCGCCGTTATGCGCTAGACCATTTTGACCAGACCCATGCCGGCGCTGCAGTGGGGATTGACGACAGAGCAGATTAACGAATGAAAAGAGTCCGCCTTTATTGGTCTGCGGACCATATCGACGAGACCCATGCCGGCGCCGCAGGGAAGAAAAAAGGGAATCAAAGACGAAAAAGTCAGCACTTTTCTACCAGAATTGCGGACTGTGTAGAAAATTCACAGCGCAGCTACCGGGACAACTTCGATAGCACGGCATCGATAATCCGTCTCTCTGCATTGCAAAGCGTGCCAACGAGGATCACGTCGGCGCTGCGTCTCGAGCGCCCTACTGCGCCTTTGTCCCACGGCTTGAAAGCCTTGAGGGCATCCAGGATTACTCTCAGCAATCCGGCGGATTCTTCACCATTCGCAATGCTGCTTTGAAATACAACATGATAAACAGGATACATTGCGGCCCGACCTTTCCTGGTCAAGAAGAAAATAGAGGGACTTTGGGCAAATTCTTTGCTGGTGACGGCAGACACGTTGATGGAAACCGCTCAAAGATTCGAATTTCGTACTCAAAATCGCGGTAAATTCCTGAGAGCATGGAGCTCTTGGTACTCAAACCAAAGGCCGAGAGCAGAGCGACGACTCGTCACCTTCCCGCACCCACGACGACAAACTTGAGACTGGCCAGGTCCTCCATGGGACGGCCCATGGCGCGCACTGCGCCTAGAATCCCGGCGAGCCCAACGCAAGCGGTTCCCTGCGGAGGAGAAAAGTCTTTTTTTAAAAGCATTAGAATATTATATTGATTTGATAATTTATAATCAATTCTGTAAATAGATTTATCATCTGTTTTGTTTTGCTGTAAATTACAAGCAGACGAACGAATTGCAATTCGATGCTAAGGTAGTATATAACTCCTTCAATGAATGTGCAGATGCGTTCACGCAGTTTCAGAGAACGTAGTGTAGATCTTTGATCATAGTGTTCATACTCTTCGACACAGACTTGGTCTCGTATCTGTATTGACTGATTCGCAGTATGCCATCAGATTCTTGCCATAAAGCTACAAATTAATTGATCACAGCATCGGTTCGGGCCCACGGGAATCAGGTAACAAGGCATAGCCACTTTGACTTTGTTTTTCAGGCTCGGAGTCCGGAATGCTCATTTGTTCAACTGAATCTTCCTATAGCCCAGCGGACAGAGCGGCCAAACCCAAGAAGTCTTCATGCAAAGGAGTATAAAGGTGACGGCAGGCTAGACGTGTAGCTTGGACTGACCTGCACGTCATCGTTGAACATGCGGTATGTGTTCCGGTACTTTTGAAGCAGCTTGAGCGCCCACTTGTTCTGGAAGTCCTCGAACTGCACGACGAGACACACAAGAGGTCACGCTGTCGTCATCTGTCTCGCGCTTAAGCCGCTAGCGATTGAAGCCCTTCGTCACGCAAGGGGGCTCCTGATCAAGTAAGCGGGAATTGCATCGAAATGAGCTGATCAGGAAATGTAGGCGTCGGAGAGAAAAGAGATCTCGTCTTTGCGGCTTTCCTTCCCGCTTCCGATTTGTCCATGTTCTTAAAACCGCTTCGGAAGCGTTGAGTCGAAGAACCACATGGATCGAAAGTCTAGATACGAGGAGCAAACACGAATGTAATTCCCGAGAAGTAACTTTCTAAGCCTGGATCACTCAAATCATGCACGTGTTCTTGCCTCAGGGAACCTCGTCTCCATATTTCTCGTCATCCGACACCATTACATATCAATGAGAGCAGCCCGCACCTGTACGATGACGTTCGGCCACCTGGAGAAGACGGCCTCCATGAACTCGTCGAGGATCTCTTCGTACGCAGGGCCCTCCAATCTCTCGTGATGCGCCCCCATGTCTGCAGCCAAACGGGCGGGCCTTGTCAGCGGGCACGCCGCTGTGCTGCACTCATTTGGTCTAACCTTGCCGTTGACACTCCTGCTGTTGTGTTGTGCTAACTTCTAAACCCTGACTCAGCGTAGAGTATGCATTCGTTGAACCGTTAAACATAGTATCTCACGTATGCTGAAATATCGACAGATTCCGGGTGCTGAAACCAAAGTTTATGTGGTGGGCAAAACAGAGACACACGAGGGACCGGTCGATGCGAAAAGGCTCCTGTTGGGAGCATCGCGAGTATCCGAAATGGTTCCCTTTCGCATGACTCCAAACATATGGGAGGCGCCCAAAGGTCCTCAAAACGGGGCGACCGTACCTGACTCCCCCAAACCGCTTTTTAACAGCGGCCAATGGTTTTGCAAAGACAACCCTCTACTGACAAGAAAGCAAGTATCACTGCCTTCGCTGCGAACATCGTGCATGCAAATCTCAAGCAACCAAAGCCCGCCAATCAAAACTGACATTGACGGTCCAAGCTCGACGGATTAAAGAGGGCGTCGGGGACCGGTCCCCCCTCCGGCGACCAGATAGCGCGCCATAGTGCACACTTGGTCGCTGAAGGCGATTTTGAAGATTGAACCTGAGCCGTCAGAAGAAATTTTCCCTCAGGACTCAGATGCACGGGTGCACCTTGGGAATCTGACGCCCTCTGTAAGTGCATACCGGTTACTTCAGAGTCTGGAGGAGAACGCACTTACACAGGTCGTTGTCGAGCAGGTTCTTATTATTCGTACCGACGTCAATGACGATTGGCAGCACCTGGCGGGCATAGGATGGGGTGGTTTGTTTGAGAACGCGTTTATCGGTATGTCACTTCACAAGCCTCCGGACAGGCCGATCAGATTCAGAACATTACGGGGCCATTTTAACAGAGTCCCGTGCTTCTTTATTGACGCAAACAAACGGATTGCAAGTCGCACTTGCAGTCAACAGGCGGCACACCCTCAGCGCTGGGTTTTCTTGACCCTTTCCGAAATGCAAGCCACCGAAAGAGAAGAAGGATCTTGCGGATAGCTTATGCCGCGATGATAGCCATAAGAAGCGGCTCGAAAGACAACTGGGAGTGTCACCTTCAAGTACAGAGAGCAAAGCTATGCGACTTCGAATGAAATCTCACCTTTCGTGGATTTATGCCTGCTCCAGCAACATACAAGTCGAGCTTTCCAATTACAACACCAATGCCTTGAACGCCCAGATCGCCCAAGCCCAAGATCCGGCTTCCGTCCGTCACCACAATGATATCAACCTGCGTCAGTGAACCATGTCTTGTCGCTTAGATGAGGTTGTCACTGGTCAGCTGTGCCACAGAAGAAGACGACACTTACCGAACGGCCGTAGCTGGCGCCAGTGTTGCAACAATCAAATGGTCAGTCGTGCCGTTTGCATAAGCAGTCGATCAAAAGGATGCAAGATGCCGTACCGCCAGAAGGGGCAACTTGCGGACAAACTGGACAACACTGGGTTGAGAGAAATCAACATTTCGTGCATACGCAGTCCCTTCAAGAATACTTGCGGACCTCACTTTAACGGCTTCCATGGCGCCTTTCGGATCCTTTCGGCTCGCAAAGTTTGAAGGGAGTTCGTTGAGTGGCTCTAAGCCCTTTCAAGGTTGTGAGGCTTACTTCGTTGCTGTTACTAAGGATTGTGCAATATTAATCACCAAACGACAGAAAGGGCAGAGGAGACAAACAAACGGTTAACGAAAGATCAAGTTACCCCAGAAGACTAGTCTTCGAAGACACACGGACGAACGATGTTAAAGAATAAGAGGGGCAACGGACCTCTTCGCCCGGCCAGTTCCACACCATTGCGGAGAACTCGCCCTTGTCCTCGGAGCTGAAGTACATACCTCGAGGTCGTCGGTACAGACCGCTGAAGTTCTGGAAACGAAGAAAAGACGAGAACTTCTCATGCTTCTGTCACGAGAAGGATTTTGGCGCCCGGGTCCTTCACAACACTTTCGAAGCGTTCGTCATGACTTTTTACTTGCACGGGTCAGATTGTGTATTTCAATATTTCAGCGGCGTGGAAGAGGCAAGCAAGGGGTACAACAATCGGAATCAACGGCTAGACTTCAGGATATCGAGATTCGATATTAGAGAGCAGTGACTATTGGGAAGACAACATGCAAAAATGGGGCTTAAAAAATGAGAGTCTGTGAGCTCAACGACTTATTATCTATGCGCAATTGATCAAGAGACGTGTTGGCTTGTTTTGAGATTCCAGCGACAAGGGCAATAGACATCACAAAGTTCGCACAAACTGCATGCTTCCCTTTGAATCGACTTGCATCACCAGATTTGATTAAGCTACGTGTATGTATGTTTACTTCCTCTCCCAAAAGCCTACGTGACGTGGCTTTCCTTACTTGACAGACTTGGCCAACAATCGGTGTATAGATGATAGGCGCCAGTTCCTTGATGTTAGCATTCACGATCTGGCAGATGAGAAGTTGGGAGAGTCAGCATGTGTATAGCCTCATAGGCTCAACCAATCTTCTGATTGTCCTGCATAGAAGACGAACACTTTCAAGAGCACTACAGACTTTGATTGAGATTCTCCGCTGTCATGCAAAGATTGCAGATGAAAGTACAGAGACAGTACCTGACTATCAAACAGTTTGCCTTGTACGAGGCCCAGGATCTGACAGCAAAGCAGAGAAGCTCTATGCAGTATATTGCAGCGGCCTTTGATATAATCCCACAATCCTCTCTGCATTCTAGGACCTTTCATGTCGATCATAAACATGGAGAACACAAAACCTTGCCTTGTAGTACAGGGTCTCGTTCCTGTCGTGCATCCTGTTTAGCATGCGCCACTGCTGCATAGGCCGCTCCTCGTCGTTGGGGATCTTGCGGAAGTCGCGCACTGTCAGAGTCAAATTCCATTTCAATTTGAGTAAAAAAAAAAAAAGGGAGCCTGGACCACAAACATCAGCTGAAAGATGGTAGGCAACATGGCTTCTGTTCATGGTTCCAAAGATTGCGATCTTGCCAACTGCCTCAAGCTTTTCATCAATATGCACAGCATTGGCAGGCTGGGCCGCTCCATATGTTGTATTTTAGTAGGGGCTAAGAAGACCACATTGTTTGCATCAAAGATCTGAATTGTCGGAGACCTGATTACTTTGCGAGAATACAGCGCACCTTTAAAGAGTACCTTTCTTGCCGAAAGCTTGAACACTTACTGAATCTCTCCACTTGCTGATCAGCTGTCATTACTTTTGGTGGCAGAAGGCCCCGAAGGCCCAAGCGGTCCCTCTCCGGGATTGAGAACGCAGTTCCCTTGCTGCATGTGAACAACGGACCTTCTCTTTCTCTTTCTGGAGAGTTCTGAGTTTTGGCACAGTAAGTATACAGACCTCTTGACGACGGTTTGATATAGCTCCAGGTACATTGAAAAGAGCAAGGTCGTTGGAACTCCAGTGTTGATGAATCAAAGAATCTGATGGTGGTTTTGACATTGAAGGTCGGTTACTTGAAATGAGTCACAAGACTCATTTCATTAGCGAATGCACAAACAGCGGAGCGGTGACTAGATTCAATGGAAGGGCATCATGGCTGAGTAAGAGGCATAGTAGCGATCGACCAATAGAAGCAAGGAGCTGGGGTGGAAGCTTTTTAGGTGGCCAAGCACATTGAGAAGCCAGTGTGCTGACTCACTTGAACCAGGGATCATGCAGAACCTGGTGCCCACGCATGTGAAGGAAGGTTGCACTTGTAGATGATGCCCTTGCTTGACATGTGGCGGCAGCTGACACGATGGGAGGGGCAAAGTCAATCCATTCACAGCCTGCTTTGGCGGTCCTACTGCTTATGTTGCAGCGACCCAAAGCGCCTACAATTGACCTTAAGTGGTGAAGCGCCATCTGTTGAGATTATGGATCAGTTTGCTGTGCCTTGATTGGTTAGAAGTGATCAAGGAATCTAGATGATGAGCCTTCTGTCACCAGGCTAAGAGCCACATTGGAAAACCTACTTGCTTGATCCACATGATCTCTGCCTGCGAGCAACTTTGCAATCAGAAGCTCGCACAATTGTATGCCTTCAGCTCTACTTGTGTAGCTGCAAACTAAATGCCCACCAATCAACTCATGATCTGGTCAACAAAATCGGTGCCCCATTGCAGGTCAGTGGTCAGGAACAATGTGATCTGCCCACATTCCCTGGGTGCACGGTTTGCTGCTGCTCTGAGGTAGACCAATGAGGGCGGAATTACGAAGCAGCATAAGGGCCTACATGAATTCGCATGATTTGTCAGCACCACCCTGTTTTAGATCTTTGCATTTTCACGTTGATGTCAAATTCTGGCGCAAGCTCTCTCTGCATTGCGCATTCCTCATTCAGTGCTTGCTGGCACTTGGTGGCTCAAATTGTGCACAGAAATCTGGCGAGGCGCGACTAGGTAGATCCCTGCATTTGCAAGCTAGCTAGCTCTGCGTGATCATCTCTCGTCCACCCCCTTTGCACTTGGCATGTAGTTTGGCCAGCTGCCGGGCTTCTGTGTTGGTTGAAAGTTGGGGGGTAAGGATTGGCGCAAAAGTGGCCCCCCATTTGAGATATCTTCGCCAGGGGGTGCGCTTTGGCAACAGCATTGGCAAGCAGCATTGTGCATGATGAGCTCGCCAGAGTGATGAAGTCCAAGGAGAATTGCAATGCGGTAGCTGCGCTTTTCTGAGGCATTTGATAGCTTTTGAACGATCTTAATCCAGCTGGAAGGGACGTAATTCAGCTGAGAGATGTCCTACGATCTGTTTGTTCTGGACAATCGACCCTTGCTCGGGACCTATCACATTAGCAAGGACGTTTGCAAGGCGAAAGACAAATGTGCAATCCACCAAGCGCTCTGCTTGAGATCTAAACCAAAGCTGAGCAGGCGGTCAGCTTGTGGTATCAACGGCCGTCCCCCCCAAGATCTGGCCAATGCCCCCAGCATACTCATTCATCGCACAGGATTTCTTCCAGCTAAGGGCGTCAAGTTCAGCAGGAAGCGGGGTTCACCACTTTCATACTCTGCACTTCCATCAGCGACAAGCCTGCCTGTGTTGAATAACCACCCAAATCAATCACTCCTGGTGATGCTTGTCATGATGGCTGAAGTTGTCGCACTGAGCCTTGTGCTCCTCCCTGCTTCGGTGCTGTTCATTGGGTAAGTGCACAGCTGATCACCACTGTTCAGTCTGTTGCCTTGCAGCAGTGGATAAAACGGGCCTGGCAACTTCCAGCTGGGACCCCTTTTGCGGCCGTGCAGTATACCAACTTGTAGTATCAAGTGCGCCTTCCAACAAAGCCACGCAAGCGTATTGATGCCAAGCCACTGATCCTCAGCACAAAGCCCTCTCGACCTCTTGGGTGCAGGGTCTTCTTCCAGCCCCGTCTCATCATGCAACTGACACAGCGACTTTTCCCCTCTGTCCTGTTCCTTTGGCCCACGAAGTGTGAGACCTCTTCCCCCCATTCTATCTGCATAGCCAAAGTTCTGAAATTTGTACTGCATCCCTCAGAAATAGCGGCATCTCTAATTGGAAAGGAATGTCCTCTTAGGTGGTTTTGCAGTTTATGAAAATAAACATACAAAACTCGTGCCATTCTCATTGGGAGAGGCCCTTGAACCTGATTGTATCGTTGAAGCAGTTTGAGCCTCTCAGAACGGGTTACAGTAAAGCAAGATATAAGTCCCCCTCCATTGTGTTCTGCGTATTTGGACTCTCAAACTCATTCAGTTCTTTTCCTGAAAGTCTCTTCTTTGAAGTGTTCTTTATCTCGATAATCCTTAATCTACTGCATTCTGTACTCGGGGCTGACGCTGTCCATACTTTGCTTGCAGCAAAGGTGGTGGCCCTGACGATTGACGATTCTCCACACGATGCCGTCACACCAGAGGTCAGTCACTTATGCTCCGCGCTTGATGATACGTCCTGAGTCTGGTAACACCTAAAATCCCAAATCCTCGAGCCAGGTTTGAGATGTGCGACCGTCCCCCTGGATCGAGAACAGCACAACAGGCTGCACTGATTAATCATGAATTTGACGACATTTGCCCTCACCCATTGAGTCTGGTGATCTCAGCCCAATCAGGCTCTGCAGCTGGTTTTGAAATGAAATCAAGTGAGAACGTTAAAGCCCTTGAGAAGGTCCGAAATCCTTCACTGCAGCTTTCCAATTGCATCTCAAAAGAGTGGGCGTGCTGACCTGTCAAGGTCACATGACGATTTGTGTAAAGGCATAACATCAAAGGCTAATAGTGGCTTTTGCCCCGGTGTACGTGGGGAGTAATCCTGAGTGTGAAGTGTCCAGCCTGTTCGAAATTTTACCAACCGAGTGAATATGATTAAGTGCGCCGTTTTACAAGGCATTGATCGACCAGATTATACATGTAGGTTATGCCGGAAAGGTTCATACGACAGTATGACCACTAGACCGCCGAGTGATCTTGAAGCGTCTGAATCGTTTGACCGGAAATAGGGAAGGCCTCGAGCCAACTCGAAGTGGGTCACGTGGCTCCTTGAAGCAGTCCGTTTCCCCCGATTTCAAGCATGGTTCAGACCCAACCTGAATCTAAAACCGAGAGTTACTTGCCACGCTGGCTGAGAGTCGAACCCCAGCCTTTCTGGTCGACGCCAGCCCTTAAAACAGTGCGTCGCTTCGAAAGAAGTCGTCGCTTTCCCTTTGCAGGTACTGGACGTTCTTCAGGAACACGACTGCAAGGCCACGTTCTTCATTATTGGAAGTTACTTGGACAAGTGGCCGCATCTAGTTGACCAAATGCACAAAGAGGGTGAGACTTGGACTTCTCATCTGAGACCCGTAGAAGTGCCAGCGAAGATTGAGGTGTGGCTGTCTTCCGCGCTCTCTTATTGGCGCCAATCTTTTTGAAACCGTTCGAAGCAGACAAGCGAAGGAGAGCCCAATCTTCCCTGCTTCGTAATCCTCTGCAATATCCGAAGTTTGAGACTCGTGAAGGGAGATCTGGTTTTCGAACCCAAAGCCGAGATTTGACGTCTGATCGTGTTGTTTTGCCAGGTCATGAGCTCGGCAACCACACGATGGAAGACACGGCGAGCTGGAAGTTGAGCAAGGTAAGTGATAGATATATTTCAGGCTTTCTGAAGACTCAGAAAGGAAACTCGGACCGGTTTCGGCCTTGTTGTCGACTTTCTGCATTAAGAAATTGACTCAAACAAACGGCGTGCCACTCGACAACGAGCCCATCGCTCGGGTCTAGAGTCCTCGATGGTCGGTGTCGAACGCTCAGCACCGTTCTCCTACTTGTAACCGTGTGGTGGGCATTACGAGTTCTGCCTTGGTTCTCAGCCTTCAATGCAGGACAACAATGAACGAAAATAGTTATGCGAAAGACGATTAGCAGTCGTGTTGCTTCCATGGCCCTACTTCGTGACGCGATCATTATGCTTGCCTTAGCATGCCTTTGACCCCACCGATCGACCCTTGAAAAGATTCGAGACAGCCATATTCTCTACGGATTGAATCGTAGCCTCAAGAATCGCAGGTAAGCTTAGACATGGACATGACTTGCTTCTGCTCGCCGCACTGCTTCGCAAGCAAGGGGATCGCAAAGCCAGATTCGTGTCGACCTTTCAGGCTGGACCGCCCTTCTCAAGGGATGCTCGTCAAATCATTTTTATTCCGTTCCGTTACTCTTCCAGGACGAATTGGAGCGGCAGCTGCTAGAAACGGACTCCCGGTTGCAGCCTTACTGGGGCGCGAACAGTATCAAGTGGTTCCGGCCGGTAAGTGACGGACTTTCCCCCGCTTTTTTTGTCACTCTCGTTCCTTCGGTATTCCTGAGATTCGAAGCCAGTCCGTAAGTGTGCAAAAAAGGGTTCGAAAACAGTCTCACTCACGCGGATGGACTATGCAGAAGGTCACCCATCCAGATCCGAAAGATGTTCGATCCGGACGGCGCCTTGAGGGTTCTTGTCGGGGTGCTTACATAATCTGCTTTAGAATCTGGTTTGCATCATGAAAGCTGGTTACTAGGTGGCAGTCTGGAAACACGTCGCGACAATAGAACGCTTCTAGACACCCGGTCCGTAAGCTGAAGTCGTTGACAACCCAAAAAAGAAACACTGTTCACTCGGATACTCCGTAAAAATAGTCCGTAAAAATTCTCTCAGCTTGAAGCTATTAGAGCGGGCATAGCAAACGGACGTAGAGTCGGACTACGAAGTCAATCGACCCGCGAATATCGCAATCCTATTTCACGGTCAGCGTGCCAGACGTTGACGAACAGACCTGTAATTTCAAAAGAACGAGTTTCCGGCTGGAGTAAGTGCCGATCAACATGTTGACCGCTAACCAACTCACAAACCGCAGTAAACTTCTAGATAATAAGTTCTTTTCACCCCCGTACAGGGCCACGGCTGGTTCACGCAAAGCATGATGACAACCCTGCGCAAGCACGGGTACCGCGTCGCGCTGGGGTCGCTCTTCCCACATGACCCCTTCTTCGTAGACCAAGGGCCGCTCATTGCGAAGTACCTTTTAGCCCGGGTGAGCTTTTTCTAGGATTCCCGAGAAGCTTTACCGCGCTTTTACAGAACGCATGGCAGATGACAGGGGGTCCCGAAGTGGGAAGCATCTCTGAACCCGGGTGAGCCGTCCCCGCTTTGCCGAGACATTTCCGCGCCTTTCCAGGACACGTGGCAAAGAGGCACCGTTTGGAGAGACTAAAGAGACCGCGCCACGGGAATTGAGGTCCACCGGAGGTGTTCACGGACGGTTTCGCCGTCACTTTCGCCGTCAGAGCAGCTCGCTGGTTTCGCCGGCTGTGCACCTTTGAGACCAATTTGCAGAAGGCGCCTAAAGGCCAGCAGTTGACCGGTCGGCGCTGTTTGTAGAGCACGTCATACTGTCCGCGAAGTCCTGAATGAGCTTCTAGATGAGCTTTTGAGACATCAGTCGACCGGGGTCGCGCTGCGTTGCTAACCTCAGGACAAATCTGCGGTAATCTTTGAAAGGTCCTGCCCCCCTTGCGTCCACTGAGCAAGCCAAACACCGCTCCCGAGCAGCTAGAAGTTGATTGTAGAAGGCTGGTCTATCAAAACCAAATTAGGGGACGCATTCTCGATCGTACCACAATTGAAGGTGCCGTCTGACCATCCCTCGCAGGTGTACCCGGGCGCTGTCATTATTCTCCATGATGGAAAGCCAAGCCGTCGACAGCTGATAGACGTGAGTCTTCGCTTGATTCTCAAGACGGGTCCCTTGCTTTTCGATGCCCTTCGTCACTATCTACTGAAATCTACGAAGGCCGTTCCTCTGACTTGTTCAATCTGCAGAGCCTGCATCTCTCGCTTTCTCGACGGATGCGCTGACGTCGGCTCGAGGCAGCAAAGATCTGTTAAGCCCTCGCCGGAATACGGTCGCTGGCTTTTTCTCCGCACTTGTCAGGCGTTGCTGTTGGTATTAGAAAGTCGACAATCTCTTCCGTCGTGTAAACTATGTGGGCGCTCACCGTTACGATCAATGCTTCCTGCCACGTCGTGCAGGCTTTGAAGATTTTGCTACCCGAACTCAAACGCCGTGGCTATAAAGTAGTGACTCTTTCGAGCTTAGTCGGAGAGAAGCCTAAGGCAGGCAGTGCTTCCAATGCTGGTCGTCCTTCCAAAATCCAATGATGGAGCGGACCTCATGGACCAGTCGGTCTTTGCGTCCGGATGCAGCGGCCGCTAAAAGGCGGAACATTAGCAAGCTCATCTTGGCCGCAAGTCTTTACCTGCATATGACCGGGTTCGCTTTGTCAATCTGGTGCATGAGGTTGCTGCGCGGCGGGACTGGTTGGTGAAGAATGATGATTGGCTAGGGTCCTCGAGAAGGCTGCGCTTCGGCAACATGTGTGCATGTAAGGCATTGTGCGCATCATCACTCTTGGATCAATCAAGTGCTTCACTGATCTGGTCAAGATATCTTCTGTCGAATGCGTGTCCCAGTTTGTGATCTATTCAATGACTGCAAATGATGGGGACGGTTACATGTATATATAAATATTGATTGTGGTCATGCACATTAGTGCATTGGCGCTCGCGCGTTTACTTCAGTCCGTTCAGGCACACGGACTCGCGGCTGCACCACTACAGCTGCATGACACTCAGTGTGATGCAGCCAGGCCAGCACATCATGGATGCGCGGAGTTCCGATAGGACATGGACGTACAAAGTACCGCCAGATCGATTAGCTGAATATTATTGAATGAGGAAGAATTCTGTGGCTTCTACCATCATCAAGCGATGATTGTCATCATGCGTTTACGCATGCTTTCCATGTACAGACTCACCGCTAGAGCTTCCAATGCATGCGACATGTATCATGTTCGACAGTTGGCAACGTACGTTGCACAATCCACATAATTAGTCCCGATTGTGTCCTTACGTATTTGGTTCGATAATTGCAAGATTTTTCATCTCGTCCATCAGGGAGTCTGGGCTCTCGCAGTCTTCTACATCAACGTACTGCAGTATGCTGTACTTCTACTATGACAGAAGTCTTGGATCACAGGGCACGGCAGCAAAATCAAAAAGCCACAATGGCAATTGCCTTTGATCAGATAATACAATAGCTAAGCAACGCGCGCACAAGAAGTTGTTGCCAAATTGCTGCGGACCAGGTCAAATCCTAACCACCCGTCAGCTTAACCCAGGTGCTCGAGCAGAAACTCTGCCGCATTCCCGACCGCCTTGTCGATCACAGCCGGGTCCTCGTAGAACTGGAAATGGTTAACGCCGTCTTCCTTGACCAACTTCTTCTTCTCGCTCGCGATCGTCTCGAAGTGCTTGTAAGCTGACGGCGGCCCGTCCGAGAACTCGCCGTGGATCATGATGGTCGGGACCTTCAACTGGGCGGCGCCAGCGTTGAGCGACTCGAACTCCATGTACCTGAAACGGTCCACAGAACGTCCGGTTTAGAACCAAAAGGTCCTCTTCCCCAAGCTCGATGAAGGTCTGAACGGGCTCAGAATGCTCCGGGAATCCAGACAGCTGCTACCAGTAACGAGCGTTAAAGCTGTTTACTTTACGCCCAGCTCGCAGAATTGGCAGGGATAAGCTAACCACGCCGTTGGATCAGGTGGGTTGGCTTCCTGCGGCCTGCCCAGTTCAAAGGTCGGCAAAGTTGACCCTCACCCACGGTCAACTCTGGCAGGTTCGGCAAACGCATATGAGGTAGCACCCAAGAAACAAACGATCCGAATGTCAAGGCACGAAGAAGTATTAAGCCAAACCGTTTTTCAATCGAACCCAGAACGAACTGTCAACACTCGGAGAGTCTGTTGCCAAAGCATGGCCACGCGATTGTGAAACCTCTGAGATGACGCAGTACGAGCGCGGACCTGACGGAGCTCATGAGCGCCAAGCCACATCGTCGATTCTGAAGCTAGAAAGGCTGAACGACAAATCAAACAAGAGCATGTTTTCGACCCATTTCCAAAGAGCTGTATGGCATGACGTAGTGTGAGCGCTAACGTAGTGTGAGCGCCACCCTGTTCTGCCAGATTTGCCTATCAATATTCATTACATTCTCGTTTGGTCAATACACTTTTTTTCCGAGGAAGCTAAAAGGCAAAGAACTTCAAGGGCTTTATGTCGAGACGTTTCAGAGCATTGGAAGAGCTTTAATTTCACGTAGAGGGAGCGCTGACCTGACGTACCTATTTTTTCGAAGAAGCAATATTTGATAAATTCCAAGGCCATTATGTCGAGACGTTTCAGAGGGTTTGGAACAACTACAGCTTCACGGCGAGCGAGCGCTGACCTGACGTAGCTCATGAGCGCCACCCGGTTCTCCCAGATGCCGCGATCGGCCCAGCCATGGTACCAATCCCAGATGGGCTTCCAGGGGAGGCCCACGTCCTTGCGGAGGGGATCAACGATCGGAATGTACTCAACCTGGAGCAAAGCACGAGGACCGTTTGATTTGGATACGGCAAAGGGGCATGAGAGAGTCGGCAGAAATTAGGGATCACTGTATCGACCGGTCTGACGAATGCAAGCAAGCAACCGGCAGCTCGACAATTTCCAACTTCCGTATCATCTTTCTTTCCCCGGACGGCTGAGAGAACCTTCTCCAATTCGTGCGTCTTAGGTCCCCCTTCTTTCGAAGTTGTGTGTGGAGATCTGGTGGAGAGTTCGACTTCAAAATAGCTGCTGAAAGGTTCAGCCTGTTACCCATTCTGTACTGAACGAGATTGATCAGAAAGCGTTTGATGGTTTGCAGTGGACCCCGGAGTCTGCAAGTCCGCCAGATCTCCATATGAAGAGCGAAGAGCCCATCCAACCCCCTGCGGGAATAGGTACTGCGTCCAGATGCTACAATCCAGAGCTGATGAAACTTCACTGTAATGAAAGGACGACTTCACATGGTAATACAGAGTCGTCTTCAATCTCTTATCACCCAACCTGGAGACCGTTCTAGTTGCAACTCAAAGGTCATGTTGATCTGAGCTTCCGACCCTGACGACCTTCGATCCGACCACAAACGATATCGTTTGCTTTCAACTCCTCTGTCGAATCCAAGGTCGGTTAAGTTTGAAGCTCAACCACTCATCTCCCCCGACGCTTGATACTTCTTTAGGGCGGCATGTGCATTCCAGCAGAGTTCAAGGAAACTCTGAGCTTCACTCTCAAATCCAACAATTCCAGACCAGATCGCTGGTCTTTCTTCAGAAGTGCTTCGACATCTCGTTTGGATCTGGAGATTTGCCACGCCAAAATCTCAAGCCACCCACCTCCCCAGTCGCCTCATACTTCTCCAGGAGGGCGGCCTTTCCTGTTCTAAGCGAAGTCTCAAACCCGACACCCTCAAGTCCAAATCGCTGCTCTGTCTTCAAATCGCTTCATATAACACATTCTTTGCATCTGAAACTCGTTCAGTCGAGAAACTCGAGCCACTCACCTCCCCAGTCGCCTGGTACTTCTCCAGGGCAGCCTTCGCCTTCTCACTCCGCTGCTGCAGCCGCGCCTCCGCTTCCTCCACCTTGATCTCCCCCCCCAGGAGCTCCAGCCCTCCGATAAGCGCCACGTCGTTATCATGCTCGCGATAATGGCCACTGACCACAGCCGCCGCTTTGATGTTCGGATTAGAGGCAGCCGCAACCATGACCTCCGAAGCGCCCTCGCAGACCCCAAGCGCCGCAATCTTGTCTGCGAAGCGAGGATTACAGTTATGAGTGCTGGGGTGATCAGCGTTCTAGAGTAACGAAGCGTTCTAGGCAATTGCGATTGGGCCGCCGCAAGCCCCGCGTTTCAGAGTTGAGATTCCTAGGATTGCCGCCGCAAGCCCCGCATTTCAGAGTTGAGATTCCTAGGATTGCAAATTTCACCCTTTCTCTGAACTACTAGCCGGGATTAAAGTGGTTATCTGGGTTGTTTCAAGTCCTTGCTTTGAATCTCAACAACCTCAGCAATTCAGTGAGTGACTTGGATGTGCTCCATTCCTCAACCCAACAATCGTTTGGACCCTATGCAACCCAAGTTCACACTCACATTGATCCTGCAAAGCTGAGTCCAGTCGAAATCAAAGTCCTGTCAAAGTCAAAGTCCTTCACCCCCTGGAAACTTCGAAGCTCACCTGCGTCAACCTCGGGCCGGCTCTTCAGGAACTCAATCGCACTGCCCAAATCCACCACCTTGTTCTGCGGCTCCTCCAATCTCCGCGGTTCTCCCTTACTCGCCCCATGCGTCCGGCAGTCAAACGCCAGAGCCACAAACCCCTCATCAGCGAGCCTGGTTGCGTACTGAACCGGTGCCTGTTCTTTGACATAACAGAAGGGCCCCAGGATCGCAACAGCTGGCGCTTTGCTGACGTCACCCCCCTGAGGAAGGTACAGATTGCCCACCAGTTCCACGCCCTCGCTCTGGAAGGTCACGGGCTCGACGGTGTAGCGGCCGTGCCGCGGGGGCGCCATCTTTGGGGGGCGCTGCAGAGAAATCTGATGCTTTTGTATTTTACAGATAGCCAATCGTGGTTGAGTTCTGGAGAAGTGCGCACGCAGCCCAGATGGGATTGCCCTGAACTCTTAGTGGGGCTTTGTAGATTCGAGATCTGGAAAGAAAAGGCAGGAGGCAAACGACATGTGGGTGCCTTAGTTTTGGCACTACCCAGACACTCGTCTCACCCTTCCAATGCCTTCAATTTGAAAATGCCCAGACACTCTTTACCCTTCGAGTGGCCTAAAGTCTGAACTGCCCACCGCTCACCACACCTTCAACCACAGCCAATAGAAAACTCCTACTGTGGCAAAAAGCAGTAATACATACAGAGCTCCAAGGCATACTCACGGGGATCCCTCACTTAAAGGGCCAGCTGCCGAGGGGGCTGAAAAAAGTTTTCGGTCTGGCATTTGAAGGGACAAAGTGGTTTCCAGATCAGTACAAGTTGCAGCCTGGTCTTTTTCTGAGCTTTGAGTGTCTCTTAGCTTCAGCCGACACAGGCCTCATGTAGGCTTTTACTGTACGTTTTGACCCGATTGCAAACCCTTTGAACATGGCCAGAAAAGTGCCAAGGGGACTGGTTGTACAATGCTTTGAGGATCCAGTTTCTCCTACTGCTGAGAAACTCAGCCTGACGCCGCTGTTAGATCACTTCTTAGCCATTTGCAATGTGAGAGGAACTGTACTATAATCAAGACAGCTCCGAGGAAAGGTTACAAGAAAACATACCCTCTCCATTTGTTTGAAGCCTGGCTTACCAGAAGCAACAGATTCACCGCTTGAAGCAAAAAATTCATCAGCACATACTGAACCAAATTGCATCGCGGCCTGCTTCTTGTGTTGAAGTGCAGATCCAATACACTTTTGAACAGATTATTCAAATTGACTAAGTCCATGATTCAAGGCAAGGACACCTCGTCAGCACAACTTCACAGACCAGCTTTAGAATTGCATTCAACCAGACGGCAAGGAGCTCACCTTTCAAAAGAAGGATGATCAACTAGATCGCCCAACCTTCTGGGCTGCTGCGCGCGGGGACTCCAAACCAAACTCCCTTTCACTTTAAGTAGCGTTTTCAGCAATGCAAAAAGAGAGGAACAACGACTTGAACCAGTTTAGGGGCTGTCAGTGCATATTAAATTTACGAATGCGACGGAAACGAGAATCAGGTAGGTAGGTATTATCTTACCGTACTCAAGAAAGCTACACGTCTGGACTCTGGACTCTGCACCCCGTGATTGAATTCAGGACTGCATTTGGAACCTTGTACATGATGATATGGTCGCTTCGAGTGCCGCGCCGTTGGCCGGCTTGGCATTTGGATACCGTATCTGTACCTGGGCCCACCATGACCGTCTTTGAAGTCTAGCTGCACCGTACCTATCGCATCTTCCATGACCGGTACACGGCATAAGCTATAGCATTCCCAGTGCAGTGGTGCGAGTCTGCAATCGAGTAACTACAGAATCCTGCTGCATTGAATGCATCCTGTTTAAGGAAAAGCTGTAGCCCGTCGATTGGAACCTCTGTCCAAAGAACGTACGGCTTGCATAAAACTAATCTTCCTAGACGGTTGATAATCGGCAGCTACCGGCTTTACGCTCACCGTCGATATCCAACATCGATGTGAGATATACGCTAGATCTGACTACTCCATGCCGACGGCATTCGGTTGCGGAAGATTCTTTGCGGCAAATACTTTCCACGTGGCAGATACGATATTCCCCAATCTTGCCACGGAGGCATTGCCAGGAGCAGAGCATACTTTCAAACGTGGCACTTAGTTATTTAATTGCGCCAATCAAACTCTGCGATAGCAGAAAGTATTGACCAGAACTCCGTGTAAGAAAGCTTTCATTGGTCCAGTTCGAGAGTTTGTTGCAAACATTCTTCAGGTCTTCGAAGCCTAGATGTTTCAGGAGCGCATCCGACTCCGAGTCCGAGTCGCCAGCTCCTGACTCTGAGCAAGAAGTTGCAACAGCACGGGCAAAATTGGAGGGAAGGCGAAACCGGAGAAAAGGAAGAGTCTGGCGGCAGTCAGTTTGATGAGGATATTCGGTGACAAGGTGGCAAGGTGGCAAGGTGGCAAGGTGCACGAAAGGCGGTAGTCATAGCATCCATACAGGCTTTGCCGCAAAGACATTTGATTTGCCAGGGACCTTAGTCTGCGGGGAAGACATTGCGGGCCTGGTCCGATCTGCGGAGGTGAGCTGAATCTCATCAGAAGCTTCTTGTGAAAGTTGGGTTAATTTTGTTTCTATTTTGTTTCCGTATTTTCGTTCGAGACTACGTTTACTTTCCTTGCCGACCAGGATGAATCTGATGTCAGAATGAAATGCTTTTTGAAGGTGGCAGCTTTGGATGATCTTTTACACAAGCGTGACTCCTGATTGTTCTGGATTTCGTCTGTGTCTCTTCATTTCTGGACATCCAATGCATGCAAGGTGTGCCGCTTCGCTTGGTATTTTGGCTCTCTGCTTCAACTCAATCTAAGTCCGCAGGGTTGTTTACTAAGGTGTGTGTTGTAGTCTATCTGATCTAGTACACCATTCATGGGCAGGAGGATAGTTGCCTCGTTCTGTTGAGGGGCTCGCAGCGTCGACTGTCCGGACTGAGTCTTGGGTTCAGGGACTGCAGCGTCTTGCACTTCTGACTAAAGGGTGCAATTGAGGTGCTCACACTTTGCTTCAACCACTTCAACTCTCTTTCCAGGAGTTGTAACAGGTTTGCAGTTTTTCTTTGTTCATCGTGATCTTCGTGCCCTTTCAATGAGTTGATCTCCGGATTTTTGACTTCTGCTGCCCGTGATTGGTTTTGGTCTTTGTTGATAGAGTTAAATACGAAACCATTGGCAAAATGGTCCTCTGCAAGCTAGATTGGATACTTTCGCAATTCATTGGCGTATAAAGACCCCAGGAGGCCATAGCATAGGGCATAGAAGAGATATTGCTAACGGCGAGGAGTAAGCGCCCAGTATGTATGAGCAGACAAAAGTGAAAGAATGGTTTCTTTCTTTGGCGCCAACTTGCTGTTGAAGATCTCTTGCTTGCTTTTCAGGAATTGCCAGTAGGCAAAATTAGGGTTTTCTTGATTTCAACAATAAGGACAGTTGCCGAGTCACCACGTGCGAACATAGGTACATTCAGCCTTCAAGATCAAATTGAAAGTGCTGAGCCTTGTCAGATAAGTAACAGCGCGTTCATGCAGCACGCTTATGCTGATACACTTTTGCTTCACAGCCATGGGCCTAATACTCGAGGCTGCAGCCGAGGAGGCTACTGCAAGGAGTGATGCATCCACTAGCGATTCTGAAACAGAGGGACTTAGACAACGGAGGCCGGGCGATGCGGAGGTGTTGGCACAGGAGCCTCTATGGGTGCCTCCTAGAAGGGTGCGAGTACTTTGTGCTTTGAAATTTGAAACTTGCCTGTGCAAAGCAGCTGATAAGCTGCATTTACAAGAACCATGAAGAAGTAAACTTCTTATTAGAGAGCGGCTACAAGCATCATCTTGGCTTTGTTCTTGAGGAGGGTCAAAGGGTGGCTGGTTAATCATTGCCTGCCGCTGTTAGACAGGCTTAGCTCAATTGAATTTTGGAGCGGTTCAATGGAGGGGACAGTAAGTGCATCCCACCACCTTGATTGTTCAGTTGCGTCAATGAGGATTGTAGCGCGTTTCGATGGTCTTCTGATCATTAGCCTTGTTATCAACTTTGCTGGCACAGGTCTCCACAAATGAGAGCAAAATGAATGTGTAAGGGGTTGCAGTGGCTGGTTGTATCAGCTCGTTAACAGCCCTGCATCAAGCAGCAGCATGAGTCTTTGTATGTTTGCGACTTGAAGAACGAACATTCAAGGAAGTGATCAGGACCAACAGGAGAGGTAGTCACAGAAGAAGCATGTCGAATGAATACTACTCTGGTCTTCAACTTTTCCTTCACCGGCAACACGGTGGTTATTTCCTGTTGATTGCGCCACTGACGTAATTCACTTCCCTGTGCAGGTGAACAGTCGGGAACTAGTGGCGAAGCATGTGAAGAAGATTCGAATGGAGGCTGCGAAGAATGTGGAGAAGATACAGCACCACACGGAAGAGCATGATCGATTCTACACCAAGGTGAACTGTAACTCTGGTGTTTCTTCCATTTGTCGCTGTTTTCGAGCTGGTATGAGTTTGGGATTGGCAAACAATAATTGTGATGCGCTTAATCAGAATGCGCACTACTTGCGAAATGTGTTGGAAGTTTTGAAGTATGGGTAGAGAGACAGCTCACATGGCAGTTGCTCGGTGACTTCTTTCCCAGTCTCTAGTTCTATATTTGCATCTTTGATTAACATCACTGAGGAACCAAGTTCTGACCGTGCCTTTGGGAACAGATTCGCAGTGCCTAGTCCTCCAGTATCTTGTCAAAAAAAGCCAGTCCTTGACATCTGCTTGTTCAAACAGCACCCATCTCCTGTTGCTTGCAGTTGACGTACTCCCTGGGCGTACTGTGCTTTGGCTTGTTCTGCTTCCTGGTGGGAGCAAGTAAGTTCAGCGCAGTCTCTTCTGCTCACTCTCTCTTCCTTCAACAACCTGAATCTTGAGCTTAGACGTCTTTTTTCCCCCGTTCATGAGTGACATCTTTTTGAGGCTAAGTTTCTTCCCCCCCGTACGTTGTTTCGCGATTCTGATGTTGCAAATGCCAAGTCACTGACCTTTTTAACAGTAATTTATGAGAACGACTTTTGCTAGTACAGCCGCCTAAGATGCTGCTGCGAATCCAGAAGCCAAATTGCTGGGGCTATGTGGGACCTTTCAGAGTCCAATGGCCGCCCTGCGCCCCTGATTGGTTTTGAAGGTTTGCCCCTGGGATAGCCCGAACTATGCGCCCTTGCTAACATATATTGTATTCTGCAGAGCCGCAAGTCATCCCCTACTTTTACTGCTTCTTCCTGTTCGTGGCCCTCCCGCTGCGGTGGATGTACTACAAGGCAAAGAAGTGGCACTACTTTCTCTTGGTAAGCTGGAGACTGTCGCCCTGGCGTCAAATAAACAAGACTGGATTGCATTTTTCTGTACGACTCGGCGGGTCGCCAGGTTCATCGTGGGGGTGAACAAGGGAGGCTCCGCTTGAAATTGACTCATCGGCGGTTTTGGGGGTTTCAGAGGGTTCCTTTCATGTACGCTCTTCCAAACGCGCTGTCAACATTTGCATGATGGGCCCTGTATTGCCAGAGGAGAGCGTGAAAATTACATTGCAATGGGCTGATACGAAGGAGGTTCGTGGTTTGTAGGATCCAGCTGATAGATCCTCGTCGTTACGGTTTGCCACGGATCAATCAAGAGGCATGGCTGTGCTTCGGGGAATGGAGGTTTCTATGAGAATGAACTATGACGGAAACTCCCATTTTACCTGTTGCGCGGAGGAGTGAACTTACCTGATTGTTCCTCCCCGCTGCAGGACTTTTGCTACTATGCGAACGCCATTTTTGTCTTCCTCCTGCTCGTCCAGCCGGACAACGAGCGCCTCTTCATGATCTGCTTTGCATTCTCCGAGGTGAGTGCCTGCAGCAGACGCCAAGCGTGCTGTCTTGACATGGTTGTTGAAATCAAAAGAAGCAACGGGGTAGAAGCGTTTCATTGCTTATTCGTGCACAGTGCATGCACTGCATCTGTTCTTTCAGTCATGAGTCGTTATAATCCCCTCAGAAAGTGGACCCTGCGACCCGTCTATTAAGGCAGAACCCCAAAAATGTCGGCTTCCGAGAACCACCAGCGGCGCTTGTCTGGATTGACTTTCGACTCCTCAATCTTGCATCAAAAGTTCGCTTCCATCAGACTTGCTGTTCAGCAGCGAACATTGGGTTTTGATATTACCGGTCATTCCATCAAGTTTTTTTTTGTCCAGCTGAGTTTGACGCGAGCACTTTGCAGCACGACAAGGAACGACGACTAGCTTGTAGTGGTTCCATTCCGCTGGTAACCTCTTCCGCTTTTGTGTTGCGCTTCTGCTCTTCCCAAATCCCGCTCCCCTGTCACTCACGTTCTCTCATGTTTTGCAGGGTCCGCTGGCGTGGGCCATCATCGTGTGGCGGTGTAGCTTGGTCTTCAGCTCGCTAGACAAGATCGTCAGCGTGCTCATCCATCTCCTACCAGGTAGGGACGCCCGCTCTTTCCTCTTCTAGCTTTACTTTTGAAGACTTACTTACTTACTTACTTACGTAAGACTGGCGGCCAAGATGGAGAGGCTTTCGACAACGCACAGAGATTCCGGCATTGGCAGACTATGGAATTGCTGTCGTGAACGCAGTGCTGGAAATAGTGTATCGTAAACTTCGCTAGCACTTCGTGGAACTTCGCTAGCACTCTTGATTGCCTGCCAACATGGACAGACCTCGCCAACATTCAGACAGACGCCCTTATTGAGGAGCACACGGAGATTGCTTTTGCGAGCGGAGCATGCCGGAAGCAGAAGCAGTTCAGTGGGCCCATGACCTTTTGGAGACATCACGTTGCTTGAAGACTTTGTGAGGCAAGGAGACGCTTTGAGCAATTCGTCAACCTGCAGCGGTGCATTCCTGCCCGTTTCACTCTGCAGACACAGATGGCAGTGCCCTATGCATCTGGGTTGCTGGTTCGTCACTTTCCTTGTACCACAGCATGGTAAGATCTGTTATTCCTGGGCCATAGCGACAGCATTCGTGCAGTTTTAGTCATCAATGCTGAGTTCATACGATCTTTCCCCCCAGGCGTGGTGCTGTTCATCATCCGGTGGTGGGACCCCTCCAACTTCTCGCACCACTCCCCCGACGAGTTTGGCCCGTGGGGCCACGGGCACACGCCGTGGCCGGTCGTTGAGGACACGCGCAAGGTGTGGACGTGGCTCTTCACGGTGCCGCTCATCGTGTACTCCGTCTGGCAGGCGCTCTACTGGATCATCGTGGAGGTGCTCCGCAAGCAGCGCCTGCTGCGGGACCCCCAGGTCCTCACCAGCTTCAGGTGAGGGTTCGAAAATCCCTGCATCCAGGGGTTTCGAAGCTTTTTAGATGCTTGGATTCTTGGCCCCTGAATTCAGCTGCGCCGGAACGCTTGCTGTGCAACCCCGGGTCCTCACCAGTTTGAGGTGAGGGGAGGCAGGACGTTTCTGTTGTAGGGAATTGGAAGTACATTTGAGGATTCTTGACAATGTCTGAAAGTAAGGACGAGTGGATGCCGTGTGTGAGCGCACCGCCCACTGCAGAAGCCCCTATTCCTTACCAGGTCCAGGTGAAGGGGAATGTGAGCTTTTGAATGGTTGACATTATGCAGAATTTTGCTTTCTATGTGCTAGGCTGCACCAGCTTGTCTTTCTCTTTGGAGCTTGGCGTTGAAAGTGTAGCACCGGGCCAGATGTAGGGTCCATTCGAAGTTTCAAAACGTGGGAACCGAATTTGTGACAACGGAATGTTTTCCCATTTGAGCCCGTTCGTAATGACTCTTCACGATGTCAACCAGTTCGTGAAAGTTTTTGATATGGAGACTCCTACTTGCGATGAGCGCTCACAATTGGCCTGGGGCGTGTCCAACTTTTTGCATCCGAAGCCTTCTGCTAATTCACGATACGGTCTTGATCCCTTCTAAACTGAATCTCTAATCTGTGCAGGGAGCTGTTGCGCAAGGCGGAGCGCGCTGGTAACCATCTGCGGCATTCACCTTAACCTGATCCGCCTTTTGACCCACGAAGTTCTTCCGCTGTTGACGACATGTTTCATCGTTGCAGAAAGTTTGGCACAAGGCGAAGCCCGTTCCGCCCGCTGACTCACGAAGTTCGTGGTGCTGACTACGATTCTCCTTTTGCGCAGGAGCTGTCACGCAAGGCGGAGTGCGCCCATAACCTGTCTGCAGCACTCACCTCAACCTGATCCGCCTGCTGACACCCGAAGTTCGTTTCGTTGCTGACCAGAAACCTCTTCTCTGCAGTGAAATTTCGCCCAAAGCGGAGCACCGCAACAACTATCTGATCCGCCTGCTGACTCACGAACTCCCGTTCCGCTGCTGAAAACATTCTGATTTGTGCAGGGAGCTGTCGCGCAAGGCGGAGCGCGCCAACAACCTGTTCTGGTGGGCGAGCGGGCTGCTGGGCGATGCGAACCGCGTGGTGATGTATGCCATCCTGCAGGGCCTGTTCACTATCGCCACCATTGCGCTCACGCTGCCCATGTTCGTCAACTACCGCTTCCACGTCGCCTTCCAGATCTTCAAGATCGTCACCTCCGTCTGGAATGGTGAGCTCACGGGCCTTTATAGTGGACCACTTCACTGGATGAGCTCGAGAAATGTCGCCCTTGTTCGTTACTCACTGCTTTTGCATAGCCTCTCTGATTCTTATATCTCTGAACAGTACCCTTGAAGGGCAGGGAAATCTGGAACATATTACTAAATTATAATTAAATTGGCGTTTGAGAAACCTTAGGATTCAAAGTCGTATCAGCCTTACTGGGCTGCCCAACTGCGTCAGTCACCCAGTCCACGATACTCCTCGACCCGTCATATCCGTCACCTCCGTTGAAACGTTAAGCCCACTGCAACTTGCACTGAAGGTTTTCTCAACGTAGTTGGTCGGGCTTGAGATTCGGCGGGCTTTCAGTCGTACCAGGCTCTTAATCCGGAGCAGAAACCGTGCTATGTGTTCCAGGGTCCGTGCTTCTGAGGGCTGATGGCTGCGGTGTGTACTGCTGACAGTGACTGTCGGCTTCATCCACTTTCGAACAGGAGTTCTTGGACGAGTATCAAAGTGGTGTGCCATTATTGAGCTCTCGAGGAAATCGTGACGCTTTGTGGGGGCATTGCTATTAAGGCGAAGCTGCAGCGAAGTCCCGAGAGAAGCACCTTCTACATAGATTGCTCTGCAAGGTAGAAGCATCCGGGTGTCGACTCTACAGTCCGGTAGCAGGATGGTTATACAGCATAAATTTAAAACCTTACCTATTCCTTTTGGGAGAGTCTCTGACTTTGCCTGTGTGCCTTTTCCTTCAGGTGGCGGGTACTTCTTTGACGTCATGCCCCGCCAGATCGTGACGAAGGACGAGAAGAGGAAAGCCCTCAAATCGAAGCAGGGCGACGCCGCCAAGGATACCATCTCTCAGCCGAACTCTCCGGGAGAGGTTTGCCAAAAGTGCGGATCGCTCCACAGCAGCGCCTCCAAGGACAGCTTGAACGGAAGCTTGAGTGGGAGTGGGGAGTTGGAGACGAATGGGGACGGGTTGAAAGGCCAGATGGATGCCGAGATGAAGCTTCGACTAGGAAACGGAAAGTCGGAGGAGGAGGCGAAGGGGGAGAAGGTCCTGGGTAAGAACGGCGTAGAGAACGGGAACGGCTTGCACCAAAGGAGCATCGCACGCGCGAACAGCTGTGGAACAGAGAGTGGGGACAAGGTGTCGGTGGAGATGAATGGGAAGGGGTCAAGTCTGGGGCTGGCTAGGTAGGAACTGATACCAAATATGTTTGTCAGTTTCGCAGCTCAACCTGACCATGGTCGATGTCGACAATGAGGGGCATTCGCGTGGGTTGAGTGCGATGCTTTTGGGTTATCATAGTCTGGGATATTCGATAAGGGTGCGCCAGCCAAATAGGAAGAACAGGTTGCTGAGAGTCGGATAGAGTAAGCGGACATACGCAAGGAAGGTTTTTAAGTGATGTATATACTATACCTCATACTAGGCATGCTCAAAAGCATGCAGCAAGCAAAGTTTCGATTCCGGTTTGTCACAGAAGCTGTTCTTATCAAGTGCAATCTGCTTCGCAGGGCGTCTTGACATCACGTACTGCCTCCTGTAGGTCAATTCACGTTGGTCACTTTGAGCATATGGAAGTTGCACGCTCAAGTGCACTAGTTTGTCAGGACATATACGTTTATTACTTTCTGATAAACTTCTCGTTGATTGGAAAAGATGGCTGCGCATGCTGTGGTCAGGACATCAGTCCTGTCCTTACTCCTTGTTTGAAAATTGTCACGACTTTCCAAATCAGATTGCGTCTGATCTGTCGCTCCCACAAGTATCCTTGCAGATTCCAAGGAGTTCGGGTGCTGAGTTGGGTTGATTTCATGTTTGCATGCAGTGCGTTCGGTCCTTATTGAGAATTGTTCTGGATATCTGAACACATCGTCGGATCACATACATGGCCCCCAAACCGAAGGCGATCACCATGCGAATGGTGGCCCGCACTGCATGACACAATGGATCGAACGCAGAACTTATCAACCTCAATCATGCATTCAATTTTTCAATCGTAGTCCGTATACATTGGCTAGCTGTACTCTTAGTTAAAGCCGCCTTAGCTAGATATAAAGCAGATCCGAGCTGGAAATGTTACACGATCACCAAAAATGACATCATGGTCGTGGTTTGACTACAGTAAATGCCATCACAAAAACTCCTCCTAATGCCTTGGGAGCCCGTTCCTACATAGAGCTACAGTCGTTCCCAGCAGATTCAGTCCGATGACTTGACATGAAACACGTTTACTGAGTTTCAGGACGGGTCCAAATTGTCGCTTTTGCAGAAGCAGATATTATCTGACATGCAGCTACTTCCCAACCAAGAACCGTTGAATGAACGACTAAAGGTCACACTTACCTTCTTCAATGTCGGGGTGCCGTTTCTCATAGAAGACTGTGCTACTAAATGAAGAGGATTTTCAGCCCCTCGCAACTGACTTGGCAAAGCGAAGTTCAGCACCAATTTAGATCCCCTACGAACATGATCGAACAATGGCCTTACTACGAAAAGATCCTGTGCTGTACCTGCCTTGCAGATCGACAACATGTTTCTCCTATAAATGAGATGTATTTTCCGTGAGCACTGCAAGGGCAGTTGTGCACCCTCCTATCAAGCGTCGCTGCTCAGCAGAAAGTCCAAGTTCGACCCTGGCGGATAGTCCTTAGGTTCCTGCCGTGGGACGAATACCCGACACGGCCACTTGCCATGCAGAGTCGCTTTACTTCCGTCCACCTCTAAACACGTGCCCTCTCTTATGCCCACCGTCGTCAGAGCGTCTTCCAACTCGTCGGTATATTGCCGTATCCTCTGCTCCCTGTTTTCTTCCATGGAGACGGTGAACCCCAACTCGTGCAGCTTCGCTTTTGGCTCTGGGTCTGCATAGTGCGGGCTGATGTTAAAGGGGACGAGCCCCAGACCCCTGAAGGAGGGGACTTCCATGATTGGCATGCAGATGCTGGTGTGAATAGTCGCACCTGCTGCTGTGCTCCCACAGGAGGAGCCGATGTAGAGCATATTCCCACTCGTAACCCGTTCTCGAATCAGGTCGACGAGGTTCTGTTCGTGCAGCTTTTTGAAAAGCCGGAAGGTGTTGCCCCCGCCGATGAAGAGCGCCTTCGCGGCTTTCACGGCTGCCACCTGGCAAGAGAGATCGGCCAGGGCCATATTGTTTCAAGGTCCTACTACGAAATAGAAGCTTGCGAAGCTTGTAGATTCACACTGAATTTTAACGAATCGTTTGGGCTTTCGGCATGATTAAGATCGTGAAAGTCATGTGCAGCAGATTTCGGACCAGAAGAGTGGCTTCGATATAAGTGCGAGCTGAATTGAGTTGGGCGACCAACGAAAGAAAGAGTCCATTCAGGCGCGTTGTAGAGCAGAGAGCACACTACTCGTCAAAGGCGTTTGCTGCCAATCCTGACACAAAGGCACTGGCACCAACACATTATCCAAAGGATAGGCATGTATTCTGCGACGATGGAGAGAATTCAGATCAATAATACTGCCACATTGTAGAATCTACTGCTGATTACAAGATATTGATTCTGAAACATATCAATCCATCCTTCTTGTAGTAAATACAAACAAACTTACAGGGTCCTCCGCATGGTGGATGCTTGTACTCTTGATGCCCAGCTCTTGCAGACGAGCCTTTGGGCGTCCGGTGTGGTCGATCGGCTGTCCGGACGCGTCGTACTTGATCACACCCGGATTCCCTGCAAACGTTTTGCTTTTTGAATCTTTGCATAAACCTCATGTAGTACTGTGGTTTCGAAATGATGTAGTAAGATATCAAGCCATTGGTTCGTGTTATAACAGCTGCATTCTTTGGCAGGCAGAACATGAACAGATGCTGGAGGGTGTGCAGACCATGGGGGGGAAATGGAAGCCTGGGTCAGTCAACAAATTGCACCCCTGAAAGGAACAAAAAGGCCCCCAACACAGGAACCACTTGTTGAATTCAAAGGCCGTCGAAACATCCAGAGGTTGAGGGTGCAAGCAGTACCTAACAATTTATAACTGCACAACAAACAAAGTCCGCAACTGCAACAATAGCAAAAAGAGCCAATCTGAGTTCCCCGATACAGCAATCTCAATATTCGAATGAGTTTCGCAACCATGACTCAAGTCACTTACCAAAGTACTTCTCGTACTCCTTCAGGGCGTAGGGAACAAAGAGGACCTTGCTGACATCACCCTTCTTGAGGAAACTCTGAATGGTCTCCCCACAATGCCCCATGTAAGTGCCACCATAGAGCGTTGAGTTGGCAATCAGAAGAGCGCGGGTTTTGCTGTAAGATGACGAAACGCTCGAGTAACTCCGGGTTTGGGGCTCTGTCGTCAAACCTGGTGAGTGGCTAGGGGCAGATGCAACTAATTGTGAAAAGGAGCTCTCAGTGTGGGGGTATCCGGAACTGCTGCCAGCTTCTCGTGCGGTGCAAAAGATCTGGCGCCATGAAAGCTGCGCGCATTTTGATTGAAGGGCAAAACCCAGACTTTGACGCACGGGCAACATGGCGCTCGTGTTGTGTTGCGATTTCCTGCTAAAATGAGAACTGGAAGAGCTGTGTGGGTGGCGTCAATACTTGATGCGGGCAGGAGATTGCACTTCGGAGAGTGGCACCAAGGCAGAAAGGATCAGGTTAGCATAGAAGTGTGTTTCTTCAGGCATCCGATCAAAGGCAAATCACCTTTTTCTGCTCCGAAGATGATCTGGAAAGAAGCAGGAAAAGGAGCTAAGGAGAGAGATGTTTCTCAGCTGCTCAGCAAAATGATGAAGGCGCTTGAAGTTGTGGCTTCAGGAAGTTTAGGGTTTTCATTTGCTGCCAAGCAAAAGCCCTATCCAACGATCCCACCATACGCTATACGTATTAAACCGTCGGCGGCATGTCATGAGCACTCCATGACGTCAGCGACTGGATTAGGGGCCACTTGCACCAACTTTGTCACCAAGTTGAGCACCCGGGAAACGGGCGGGTTAAATCTCTAGTTAGGACTGCGTCTTAGCACGCAGGGCTTGAGAATCAAGTTCAGATTTCTTGGTTGAGGTGACCGGGGCTAACGTGTTTCTACAGACAAGTGCCCCTATTGGGCGTTATCTCTGGTCGATACTCGGGATTCTCAGCAGGCGCTTTTTGCCAGATTATGGTGCACTTTTATCAGAAGTTTGTGGCGCTTTTTTGCCTGCTTTACATAGAAGGTTGTTTTCTACGCAGCATGGCCATATCTATCTCTCTCTGCTCGAAAGTTAATTCAGATTGCAGTTGCAATGGTGGGAGCTCCATGCCTTAGCAAAAGCCCAAGGTCGATGGGGCGGCCTCAAAGCTGTGGGTGGCTGGACGCACATATAAACTTCAGAGAAAGCTTCTAGAGCTGATTGAGTGGGGGAAAGCACTTGGGGCAGACAGCATCTCTACTTTTGTGATTGCAATTTCTTAGACATGTGCTCAGTCTGAATTTAAGCAATTGGGGGGGCCAGAATGCTGAATCAGAGCATTTGAACACGACAAGTTGGAGCTCCTCAGAAGAGCCAGGAGAGATGTTTATGTGCGAGTCCTTAAAGTTCGCGCTGGTGTTGGCAACAAGTGTAGTTTTGTTGACCGCTCTTGGGGAGGCGAATGGAACGAGCAGCGGCATGGAATTGCTTACTTGGAGGGTAAGTTCCTCGTTGCAATCTCAAGAACATTCTTGCAGTGTACTGATATACTGTGACCTTCGAGAAAATGTTTATGCTAAGAAGATACAGGGATTCAATTGATGGTATGTTACATGTCGTCAAAGAATTGCCCTCAAAAGAAGGTGGCAAAGCCTGGGCTTCCACTCACAATCTGGCTTCCCTTACTTCCTGACCAGCGATAGCTCCCTGTAGGGCAAATTTGCACTTTCTTCTGGCAGTTGTTAGCTTGTTCTTGTTGAGTTCGAGCACTGGCCTTTATCCTGGCAACTGCAAAGCTTGCAGTTATGACGTCATTCTTGTAGAGGGGTAGAAACTTCCAACAGATTATTGCAGTAGCATGGTATGGCAAGGCAACAGAGGGGACCTCTTGGAATAAGCTTCCTACCATTACTCATCTGCCTTGTTACCTCATGGAAGTGTGGTGTCATTTCTTAGTGCTTGTAAAGGATTCCTTAGAAGTGAGTGGTATCAGGCAGTTCTTACTAAGGTGTCCCTTACGTATGCTAATTGTGATGGCAGATGAAGCCTTGTGATGACGAGTTTGAAAGACCAAGGTTTTTCGTGTTGTTATGCATGCCAGCAAGAGGACTCTTGCTCGGCGGCAAGACTACCAATTCGGGTGCTTTTTCAGAGATTGGTTCTTAGAACCTCTTGGTTCAAATGCGTTCAGAATCTGGGATGTATTTCTTCTTGCAGTCTCTTTTCCAAAACAATGCGAAAAGTTGGTGGCTTCTGAAAGTGTCTGACAGACTGCTTTTTGGTCCCAAAGAGTCCTGCTTACTTGAAGGCCGTAGCTTGTGAGGATCGTGAATGATGCCCTTCTGCATCAGTTGCGGTTTGATTCCAAAAAGGCAAATGACAGAGGCGCAGAACCATGTAAACACAGGATGAAAGTTTCTTGAACGGGCTCCTGCGTCTTACTTGCATCTTCTGTATCATTTTCTGTTGCCTTCACTTCGCGCTGACTCTTTGTCATTGTCCAATGCTCCTTTCTGCAATCCAAGAGGCAGGGTCTACAGCACAAACTCCATTTGTTGGGGGAGCTTTCAAGAACGCCGTGCAAGAAAGAAACACGATTGAGTCTAACTAACCCTCCCTTCTCTGCTTGCAGTGGCAGAGCCTAGCCAGTATCCCTTGGGTGTCCGCTTGCCTGCCTTTCGAGTTGCTCAACTTGGCCTGGGCCCTCGCAGGACTGTTATTGTGCACATGTCCAATTTGGTCCAAGTGGTGAGCAGCTCTTCTGTTGGAGTTGAAGAGAGGACATGATTCACAATTCTTTGGGATTTTCTCAGCAATTATATATGCAGAATTGTGTCTGGGTCAAGCAGAACAGGAAGAACCGGGAGACTTTGATGTTCTATCTTGTTACGTCTGCCAGATGGCTGCCCAAGGCACATTGTATTCGTCTCCATACAACTTTTTCGTTTCGCCCTCTTATCTAATGGTGTTTGTCTTTGCAAGGCCTCCTCTGTTAAGGAGAAGGTTCTTTCAGGAGTATACAGTTGTCGAGATGCAGATGATAAATATGGAGAAGTGCCGGTTGAATGTCTGCGGACTGCTTAAATCTTCCTCAAATGAGGAGGATTTCTATGGAACTTTACAGGGACGCTCGACATTAATTCTGGAGCTTCCCTTCTTGCAGGTATGGGGCAAACCGCTTGAACATCACAACCATATTTTATGTGACGGGGTCAGCACTGGAAGCCCTTTACTTTCTGCACACCAAGGATGTAAGTTAAAAATACTGTCTTCCATTTCGTGACATTTATAAGCTGTGTAAGTCGAGATTCTATGGATTTGACCTTGATACATTTCGCAGCAGAGGGCATTGGCAGCCTTGTATTGTGAGACAGAACAATCATATGAAAGCAATCATCTGAAAGCATATGAAAGCAATCATGAGAAAGCATATGAAGAAGCGCAGGTGGTCATTATGTCGCAGAGGAGAGGACTTGCATCCCTTGTTGATGCAGATTTTGGGTCCATTTGTGCAGGCACTTCCTTATGTTCTGACCCGAGCTTTGCTTCTCCCAATGGCGGCCTCGTTGACTCTGCCAGCATCTTACAGGTGAGTAGCACTAAGTTTTGTTGTTGCAGCTTGTATTGTCTCTCTATCTAGTTGCTCCTTGACATGCCTTCGAGGGCGAGTCTTCGTACCACCTTCACACAAGACTTGCTGCAATCTGCTTGACAGAACTCCTAGTCTGATACCACCCTCAAAAAAATGTCGAAGATTGCATTCCTGAAAGTGGTTTGCACCAGAACCATTCTGCAAGAGAGCTTTAACTGACACATGAAGCCTGCCATGGACTGCTGAATGATTACTCAATAAAAATGTTTGTTCTTACAGGCTTCGGCTCTTCACCCATGTGTCAGGCCTTCTTCTCTGCATCGCCGTTGCATGCCTGCGCAGCGATGCCGCCGCTGTGTCGGCTCTCCTGTGCACTGCTCTTGTTGTGGCCTACACAACCGGAGCACTTCTACCCGACCTCTCAGGCAGGAGCGGACGGTTGGAAAGGATAGAAAAGCGGCAGATGGTTGAAGAGGCAGAGGCGGCGCCAATACTGGGGGGGGCAGATGCGGGGGAATCAGCAGAGGGGCGGAGAGATGGGAAGCATACGGAGGGGCTTTCCGAAGATAAGAAGGCGGGGATTGGCGGAGGTAGTACTGGGTATGTGGAGAAGCACGTGATTTTGGAGGGGTCCTCGTCTGAGGATGCGGGCATCTCTGGAAGACAGGGAAAGGACGAAGACTTAGGAAGAAAAGGAATGAACGAAGACCCTGAGGAAGGGGAGGGGGACGAGGAAGACGACTTTGAGGAGCGGATAATGGAACTGGCGGCAGCCCCGAAAACCGCCCGCGACTCATCCGAGACTATCTTCACCGGCCGTCCAAATGCCAGCGCGGCGCTCATTGACACCGCCCCGGATGCCGCAATAGCCTCGCTTCTGCGGGACCGGGCTGCGGCAAAACGTCCGTCGGGCAGCGCCAGCGAGGGGGGGTCCGCTTCCAGCGGAGAGGCCCCCCCTGGGGCGGAGAGGCCATGGTCCCGAACGCCAGGGAGTTTCGTCCTGACGAACGAGGAGCGTATGGCGACCACGACGAGTCGGCTGATCGCTCTTGCAGGCGCGGCGAGCGGGCGAGTTCCTCGTGGGGGAGTGCAGCAGCCGGATCCGGGGACTGAGAGAGGCCCCCCAACTAGGGGTGGGGGCGTTCCAGTAGCAGCACCTTCGGCAAGCCCAAGGATCTCTATAACTGGGGCCTTGCCGCCTGCTGGGGGGACTGTGGGGATGGGTCAGATGCGGTCGGCGCTTGGCAAAACAGGGCCTTCGCCGGGAAGCGGATCAGGTGTGGGGCGCGGAAGAGGTTCAGACAAACAACCTGAGGGTGGAAGCGGACTGAGCAAGCCTCCGGAGTCGAGGAAAGGCAAGGAGAAGCTGGTCGAAGAGGAGCCGGCAGAGGCCCCCCGGGGGCCTCGGGGCGCTGGAGGGGGTCTGCTCATTCTGCCCGGGATGTCGGAGCGCGAACGGGAGGCTTTGGCCGCCACGTATGCCGCCGTCTCCGCCGCCCGCGCGGCGGAGACAATGGGCGCCGCGCGACCATGGGGGACCGGCGCGGGGTTACCGTCTACCGAGCTCGACTACCGGGGTCCGGGCGCGGGGAACTGGCAGTCTCCGGCGTGGACTGGTTTGGGGGAGGAGTGGCTCGGTTGGATGCAGGACATGTTTTTCATGGGCCCGGGGTGGGACGGCGGCATCTCGCGCGCGGACGACGAACGAGAGGCGGCGGCGAAAGCGAGGGCGGCGGAGGCGGGGGCGAAAAGTGTGTTGCCGGAGGGGGCCGGGAGTGATGACGAAGACGAGAGCGACGATGACGAGAGCTACGACTTTGCCAAGATGGAGGAGAAGTACAAGGGCCTGCTCGGGAGCATGCGGGGGTTCGGAGGCGGGGGCTTCGGGAGTAGCGGCAGCGGGGGCCGGGTTGACGTCAGCAAGGCAAACACTGACGTCATTAGGGGGGACGTGGCCCGGGGGGGCTTGGGCAGCGGAGTAAGCTTTGCGGCAGCGGCGGCGGAGCCTTCGGATGATTCAGACGAGGGAGAAGATGAGGACTCGGGTTCGGAGGACGACGATTTTGATGACCTCGTCGGCGCTTATCCGGGTCCCCTTGACCCGCTTCGTAGCCCCGCGCCAAATCCATGGGCCATCGATTTCGGGCAGCAAATAAGGTTGCTGGCAGCGATTGCGCAGCAGAAGTCTGTTGAGCCGTCGCCAGACGCCGGCAATCCGTTTTCCCTCGATATTAGCCGGCCCGGTCAATCCCCTCCTCAAAACTTGAGTGCAAGCGCTGACGCAATCACGATCCCGCACTTTGTCCTCGATGCGAGTTCGCCCGTCCTGAAAGTTGCAACAGCGGAAGGCGAGGGTTTTCTGGAGACAAAGCCGGAACCGGCAGGAACTGGTAACTGGTTCGAGACGACGCCCCCTGCCACTCCGCTCCCTTCTCCTTTCGGGACGGGCGGCCTTGGTCTGTTACCCGAATACGCCCCCCGATTCCCGGACGCCCAATTCCCGGGCACCTCCGCGGACGTCCTGCGCGAGGAATTAGAGGAGCGGATGCTCAGCTCGGACCGCGTGGAAGACGTGGGCGCCTACCTGTCGACCTCGGAGCGGATCACGCAGCTCCTCTCCGCCCCCGCTTTCACACTCGACGCGAGCGTGCCCGCGGGGCTGCCCGGCTTATCGGCAAGTGGTCGGGACGCAGGCTTGGGCGCCCCCGCATTCACACTCGACGCCAGCATCTCAGCGGCCGCCCCCGCATTCACACTCAACGCCAGCATCCCAGCTGCCGCGCCCGCATTCACACTCGACGCCAGCATCCCGGCTGCTGCGCCCCCATTCACCCTCGACGCGAGCATTCCCGCAACCAGACCGCCGGGCATTGTGCCAGGTGGTGTGAACGCGGGCTTTGGCGCTGCCGGGATGCAGGACGTGCGGGCGGCTTCCGAGCGCATCACCGAGCTCCTGGCCGCGCCAAGTTTCACTCTCGACGCCAGCGTTCCCGCCGTCCCCTTGGAAAGGGCTCAGCAAACGGGCGAGTTGAGAGGCACTAGGTTTGGAGAGGACGGCCTTCAGGGACCGAGCAGTAGTCGGGGCGGGGCAGAAAGCAGCGGCCTTCGGGGGGAGGTAGTTTCGAGAATCAGCGGCACAGGCTACGGAGGGGGCAGTGTTGGTGTTCGAGCGGAGGGCCCGCCAACCGCTAGTTTGACAGTAAGCAGCGCCCTAGCCACGGAATTGTACAATACGCCTTCAAAGGGCCCCTCCCCGGACCGGAACGACCCGTCCAGTTTGCGAGACAGGATGACGCTGCGCTCCGGCCGGTCGTACCCCTCCCCAGCGAAAGCTGCAGAGACTTCCTTTCTCAGTCCTGATGTTTCCTCTTTCAGTCGAGAGCAAAATGAACCGAGCAGTCGGTTTCGGCGGGACGGGGAAAAAGGCGCGGGCGCGTCGGCTGACGCACGGTTGACGACTAGCAGTCGCGGGGCTCTGGGGTTTAGTCTTGACGCAAGCAGAGGTCCGGAAGACGGACACGGACCGTCTGCTTTTGCTGCGCCCACGTTTACACTGGATGCAAGCAGATCCGCGGCGAGCCCGGTAAGCGCTGGTGTCTCTTTCGTTCCGCCGATGTTCACCCTCGACGCAAGCCGACCCGCGAGGAGCACGGATGTGCCAGATGCTCCGCCTGCATTTACTCTGAATGCAAGCAAACCGGTTGCAGCGGCGCCGGGGGGTGTGGGGGCGACCTCATTAACTCTAGACGCGAGCAAACCGGTCGCTGCTGCGCAGGGGGGTGTGGGAGAGGCGGCCGGGAAGAGCAGCCCCGATGGGTATGCTTGGACGCAGATGTCGGAGCGGCTCGCGCGGCGGTCAAACGGAAGGGGCATTAGCAAAGTGGACCAAGAGTGGCTTAAGGTTATGGAGAGGGTTAAGGACAAACTGCCCCAGACGCAGAGCGGGTGGAAACCGGAATTGCACATTCCCTTCGCGGCGTTGGGAAATTAGAAAGCTGTTTGGGATTGTAGATAAAGAGAGAGCCCGCTCGCTTGCTACGGCAGAGAGTTTCGCGGGCGTTCTAGAGTGTCTAGATGTACAGGGTTGGGCCGTGACTAGCACAAGTTTTGAGCAGGTTTCGTGAGTGAAGCGAGGGTGAACTTCTCGTTTGTTCTGTGTTTGCTGCTAACGTCTTCCACAAGTTAGGATCTGCTTTGCCACTGTCTAAGCGCAAAAACTGCAAACTTATCGTTTAAGAAAAGAAGCTGGATGTTGCCGTGAGGTTAGGTCAATCACACAGGTAATACTCTAGCAGATACAACAGTGAGTCAATTTACCAGGTATGCGGAGGTCGGATGCACGTGCGAATGAGATACTTCGAGGCGAAATCCGAGCAACGGTGTCACATCCAGATTACCCTCCCTTGCATAGTCAGGGTCGTTCATGGTATTGGTACCGCACCGAGATTGCCTTCCCAGCCTAAGCTATTCATATCGAGGTGCCTTGGCGGTGGCGGTTACTTTCTTGTTTACATGCTCAATCGGCTGCCTGCTAAGCATGCAGGTCTTAATTTAGAAGGCGGGCCTCCCGGCACTTATGTCAACCACCGAGGGCTATAATTATGATCGACTCGAGTATGTGGTTGGTTATAACAAAGAGCTCCACGCGGGTCACAACTAAACTGCCTGTCCCCAGTGATTACGAGGCCACTTGACTTGGGTTCGAAGGTAACCTCCAACATTTTCTACCATTCATGACGCCTTCAGTTTCATTAAGCGCGGCCCGGCCATTGAGCACGCGCCGCACTAGCAGTGGCAGTCTAAGCCTAGATCGGCCCACATGCCCAGCCGGGGATATGCAACGTATACGTTCAATCTATTATAGCAATCATGTGCCTAACTATTTGTGACACATGATCCTGGCAACTTGCGTCATGGACATTAGTATCGTACGTACAAGCCCTACGCTTGCAAGCCGTGCCACCCGGCCTGGCCCTGACATGTGCATGCTGCATATACATGGTGAATGTACCGTCGTACATACCATGCGCTTAAACTGAGTTACCTACCTAGTTAACGGTTGCAATGTTATACTACATAGCTTTCGTAAGTCAAGTCGGACCATATATGACGGTCACATTTACAAGCTAATGGCCGACTCGATGCAGACAGGCATCGAGTCGGCCAGGCGGACAGGCGCCTGTAGTCATTTGATGCAGGGCTCGCTAGATCAAGTAAAGTGGAGGCCCCCATGTCCGCGGCTGATCCATATTCTTCCAATATCATCGATCCAAGCCGTCAACTGGCACAACGATGCAAATACGCATGCTAGGACGTGAGGCGCGCAACACCATCGATCAACTTAACCATCATGTGCTGCACAAATGCCATGCAGCTAGCTTTTGCCAAGCTTACCGACTAATTCGAATGATCAAGCGTCGCATGATTGCAATGGATGATTCAAAGTTCAATGGCTTTCGAACGGGTGCGTGCGTGTGGCGAAGTATACTTTACAGCTAGTCGCGACCTCTTTGTGGATAGGTCTAGGCTAAAATACTGTGAATTTTAATGAGTTTCCACAAATATCCTCGCTGTCCTGTGGGAACGCAACTCGATCAACCCGTCAGCTGAGCAATTGCGCTCGGAACGGAAACATGGCTCCAAAAAGGGCAAGGCTTTATGGGCTCGAGGACAACTTAACTCCTCGTTCGCCACCCATCGATCTTTTGTTGCAAACGTTTCTCTAAGTTTGCTACCGCAAGTACACGTCGAGCAAAATGTTTTCGCTGGGCTTCAACACGATGCCGGCCCACACTTTTAGGGGCCACGTGGGCGTGTCCGGCCGCGGCTCGAACCGGAAGCTTTGGTACAGAGTGATCAGCGCTATCTGCGCCTCTTCCATGGCGAACCTGTCGTACAAAAAGGAAAAGTGCTGCTTTGCTGTGCGGGATCAGAGAGGGGTGGTAGGTAGCAGACTGCCAGAGCGCGTCATTGTCGGAACTGATTTAAGCCTCCTCCCTTCGTAATCAAGTTAAGAAAGTCAAGAATGTAGAAGTCAGAAATTAGAGGAGTCAGAACCAAAGCGAACCGGCAAGATCAAGAGACGAGCAAGACATCCAACTCTCAATGAGCTGACGGAATTGGACAATCTGAATCCAAAGCGAAGAGGTAAGACACCGAGAGAGAAAAGGGGGGGAGTAGTCCACCGCTCGACTCACTTGAAGCCGACGCACATCCGGGGCCCCAGCCTGCACAACGGAGGGGCAGCTGACGTCAGCTGTCGTCATCCTGCGAAAAGGCTTAGGTTCCAAGGTCTTTTCTTACATGAGTCTAGGCTTAGGGTATGCAACATGTCTCTTCAATTTAGGTAAAGTAAGCTCGAGGTATGGTAAGCTCCCAGCCTAACCCTAAAAAAGTAACCCTGAGATCACCCGCTCCGCACCCTGACCCCCAAACTAACCCCACCCGTCCCAGGCGGCTTGGCTTACTCTAACCTGAATTGAAGTCTAATGAATGCAACCAGCCCGGGTGTATCAACGACCTTAAGCATCGTAACTGCAACTAATACCTCATCTAGATTCATCTTCCCCCTAACATTTGCAATCTATCCCGGTTGCGAATGATCGAGGGACAAGCGATTCACCACAAGCAAAGTATTAGAGATTCCAACGGCAAATGGAGCTCAAACGCTCAATCTCCCCGGCCCAGCTTTCACCGTCGCTCACCCGAACGGAAGGTAGGCATACGGGTGCCGCTGGAGCGCCTCCGGGTTGTGCGGGTCGAAGCGTTCCGGCCGGAACTGTTCCGGGTCCGGAAAGTGGACCGGATTCCGGTGCACGGTCTCCGTGGCCAGCCAAACGATTGTTCCCGCCGGGATATGCGTGCCCGCCACGTGCATGTCGCGCTTGGCGGTGCGGATGAGGAGAGGACCAGTGGAGAACATGCGCAACGTCTCCTTGACGACCTGAGGAAATTAAGCAAACCGGGGTGAGGTTAAGTTACGGACACCGGGGTGGGGTTGCGTACAGAAGTGGGGTAAGGTTTAGTAGAGGAAACCGGGGGAAAGGGTTCAGGACAGATACCGGGGCGAAATAAGGCACAGAAAACCGGAGTGAACCGTGAAGGTTAAGTACAAAACCTGGGGTGAGCTTAAGTAAGGGAAACCGGGGTGAAGTTGAATGCAGAGTGCGGGGTAAGATTAAGTGCAGGAAAGCGGGGAGAGGTAGGGTACAGGAAAGCGGGATGGGGTTAAGCACAGGGCACCGGAGTAATATCAAGTACAGGGAACCGGGATAATCACAGGAAACCGGGTTGGGGTTAACGGGGGGCGATGGGGAACGAAGCGGAAGAAGTTAAGGGAAGCGTAAAGGGGAGGGGGAATGAGTAAGAGACCGGGGCGGCGGCTCTGGCTGACCGGTGGGGGTTGAGCAGCAGGTTAGCGAAAGCGGTTTCAGTAGTCGAGCAAGTGGGGCTGGGGTTAAGTCCCATTCGCGACACTATTTAGAAGGCCCACTTTCCCCCTCAGATAGTACAGAAAGCGGTGGTCGATTCATGCGAGAGTGCGAGACTTTCAGGGAGTTTCTCTCTGGGAGCCGACTTTCTCCGGAACGACCCGAAAAGTACGATATGGGAAGTTCAGCGTCGGCTTCAGGTGTAGAGTAGATTGCGATACTGATCCGAACGTCAATCACTTCCGGAAAGTTCCCCTTCCAAGCTGGACTACCCAAGGAACGGGGAGTGGGGAACACTTTAGGCAGAGGCGGTTGTGAGAATCTGAGCGATGGGATGTTTGGCACGACGTGCGGCGCTAACGCTTCCAAGCAGCGAGGGGAAGGTGAATACAGGATTCAAGCGATGGTACCAGGAGCAAATCTGAGGGTTTCAGAAACAAACCCCAGGGTTCCGGACAAATCCGGAGGTTTCAAAAACCTACCTGTTCGACGTATGAATACTTTGCCAGGTCGGAGTAGCCGGGCTCCTTCACACCGGCCTTTGCATTTCGGTCGATTTCTTTGTACACTTTGTTTCGAGCGTCCGCATGGTACGACAGGAAGAACACTGCGCGGCAGAAGGGTCTGGATTCACTCTCCTTGGTTTGAGGACACAAATGGAGTTCAAGCTCGACGCACTTTTGGAAAGTTTGAATGACCGCTGCACGACGTACTACGTTCTGAAACCATCCGACCAACGTTTGTTTCTCCAAGCGGATATATATAGCAATGCTGTCATTCACGTGTATATGGTATCTGCTTTGGCAGCAGGAACGACATAACTCTTCAATCTAGCAATAGTAAGCTCTAGCAATAGTAAGCTCCAACACTAACACTAAAAACCTAACCTACAAAATCACCCGCTCCGCACCCGAACCCACCCTAAGCCCCAAACTAACCCTACCCGTCCCAGGCTGGTTGGCTCCTACTGCTAAAGCTTACGATTGCTAATTTGCAGATTCTTAGGAACAACCCTCAAATGGTCATGCGGTTCTTACGGGGGCACAGCACGGCGGACCTTTCAAGGTGTTACTGCCCAATTGTTTGGAGCAATCGCCATGTGTCCGGCTCATAAGCCCAGAATGCTAAAACGGGACCCCTTGATATCCGAATGTACGGATTCTCATCATGGAACCCCAGAAAGAAAGGACAACATCCCTCACGTATATATCGATCTCCAAAAGTGTAGGTTGCTTAATAGTCAACTGAACACTCTGAAAGAGGGGGGCTCAGATTGGGAGTTTTAGGCGCTCAAATTGGGAAAGTAGAGTGGGTATGGGCGGGGAGCAGCAAAAAAACTCGGGCTTAAGTTTCTGATTTCAGCTGGAGACTTCCATTCCGGAGGCTAAGCATCCCTGGTTCAAGAGTCAACCCCTTACCCGCCAAGGCGATGGTTGTGGCTGCCGTGTCGATCCCGCCAGCAACACCGCCAAAGTACAAAAGTACAAAATCATCGAAACAAAATATCGATATCATAACAGCAATAAATATACTTCCAACGTGATATGATATTCGATGTGATATGATATTCAATTGATAGTTCTAGTCCAAACGTTCAAAAAGCAAACACACCGCACCCGCCATGGCGATGGTTGTGGCCGTCGTGTCGGACCCCGCGAGCAGCACCTCCATCGCGATTGCCCGGATCTCCCGGTCGGTCAGCTTCCGCCCCGTGTCCTTCACGCGCGCCGTCCTGGACATGACGTGAGCGTGACGTCAGCCTTCAACCGCTCTTCGAGTCCAACAGGGTGCTAACGCTGCTTCCTGCGCGTCTTCGATTCGCAGCAGCAGGAAGCGGCTTGTACATTTACCCGCCTCTGCGGGTGGCGCAGACCCCAAGTCGCACTTCTCTTTCCTGTCTTTCTCCTTCTCGACCTACATGAGTCCCTTTTTGAGCGGCCAATTAGCCTGCTTTGACTTGCGCAGCTCCCTCATCCTTGAAGAAGAGAAGACGCAGCATTGCCAGCAACGCTATCAGGCCTCCCCAGAAGAAAAAGCGAACCCATCCTTTCATCCAAGCACACGATGGATGCCGAATTCTAAAAGCAAGGATGACTCCTCAAACACGGCGTCGGGTTCCCGACACGCACTAGTGGCGTCTGAGTTTCGAGGCAGTTCCTCATGCGACGAACTCAAATTGCATCCGAAAAAGGTGCCTCGGCGCAATACTGGCCAATCACGCGATCTCTGGTTGCCAGGGCGCTAAGAGTCACAGAGTCCTAACCCCATACTCACAGGGTCCTAACCCCATACTCACAGGGTCCTAACCCCATACCACAGGGTCCTAACCCCATACTCACAGGGTCCTAACCCCATACTCACAGAATCCTAACCCCATACTCACAGGGTCCTAACCCCATACTCACAGGGTCCTAACCCCATACGCACCTGGCCAAGTACGTCAGGAAGTCGCTCGAGCGCATGACGTCATCCTCGCCGCCACGTGCCCTCCTCTCGGCCGCCGTCCGCTCCGCGACGTCCATCAGAAACTTGCGGTTCTCGAACCCGACCCGTTCCATGGTGCCCGGTACGAGCTTCATCAGCCCTGCGATGCAGTCTTGCACTGCCCGGGGGAAGAACAAACCGACGACCGTCTCGAGCGGTGCGCCGCTCCCGATCTTGATCGTGTTGATCAGCTTGTTTGCGGCGACGACCAGAGGGCCGGTTTCAGCATCGGTCTGCGCTTCGAACTGTATAGCGGAAACGGAAGCTATCAAGGATCTGAATCTGCAACATTTCTGAACAACTTTCCAACGGATCTTTGTTGACCTCACTGCCATTGTTGATGAGCTTCTTTGCAGCGACGACCAGAGGGCCGGTTTACGCATCGGTCTGCGCTTCGAACTGCGCATCAAAAAGGGAAGTATCAATTAACGGAGTCAGCAAGTAGTTCAAAAATCTCGCAAAATGAACAGATTCAATCGTGTTGATGAACTCATTTGCCGCGACGACCAGAGGGCCGGTTTCCTCATCGGTCTGCGCTTTGAACTGCACACCCAAATGGGCAATGAACAGAGTTGGCGACCTTTCTAGGTATGTCGACTATCATTCGGATCGAGCAGGGAGACATATAGAGCATCTGAGCGAGGACGAGCTGAGGCGGAACTTCAAACACGAAGCTTTTACGTTTAGTGGTCTCGCGGCTTCGCTACAACCGGGGGAAGCTCCCTGAGACTCTCCAACTGTCACACAAGCAATCTCAAAGAACCTTAAGATGCGGTGAAGAAACCTCACGTCGACTCCAAAGGCGGCCTTTCCAATGATGTCGAACGACAGCTGTTGCGTCAGCTGCTTGACCTCCACGGGCTCCCCCTTGGCGGCCGCTTCCGTCATCCGCGCACGCATCTTGCTCAGCGCCCCGTGCATCGCGGGCGCGTACGCCTCGAGCTGTTCGGTGTGGAACAGCGGCATGACCGCGCTTCGGGCCCCGGCCCAATATGCGCCCCTGAACGGAAAAGGAGAAACACTTTTACTTTCAAACTTTTGTGTGAGCGTGTCATCGATTTTCACAATCCCTCAGGCAGAGTTAGTGGGTACGCTTCGAGCTGTTCGGTGTGGAAACGCGGCATGACCGCACTCCTGGCCCCATCCCAATATGCACTCCTAGAAGAGGGAAAACAAGGTTTTCCTTTCATACACTAGGATCATAACTCTGCTTCTGAAGTGTTTTGACTGTTTACTTCTAGAAATATATGAGGACATTTTACGTCAGCACTGGTGCAAGAGGGTTCGAGCTGTTTGGTGTGGAACGCCGCATCACTGCGTCCTGGCCCCAGCCCAATATGCCCCCTTGAAGGAAGACAGAGGATGACAAATGAGGATTTTGCCAACTATCGTTTCCGACTCTAAAGCACCGATAGGTGCGCCTCGGGCTGTTTGGTGCGGAAGAGGGGCATTACTGCGCTCCTGCCGCCAATCCAATATGCCCCCTTGAAACAAAATTACTGGGCATCTGGCGATTCCTCAAAACTTCGTAGTAAGTCACATCGCGAAACGTGTGCTTCTTTCCGACCGCTATTGCCCTTCTACGAAGCAAGTAGGCACGCTGACGCGATACATGGTACTAGAGTTAGACGAAGAGAAAGCGAAGGAAGGGACGGAAGGGGCAGATAGATAAACAAGATTTTAGCAAGACGGGAAGAAAAGGGACGAAGGGGCAAGACGAATAAGTAGAACAGACAAAGCACCCCAGGAGAATCTCGAAAGCCACCATCACTTTTAGACGAAAAAACCGTCCGCCGAAAAGCAACCAGAGATGATTCCAGAAGCCGTCCTCACTTCGAAAAGACGAGACTGTCCGCCGCAGTTTCGATGGACTGCATCGCCTTAACTGACAACATCCTACGTCCGCAGAAAACCACCCAGACAGGAACGCAAAAAGTCGTCCTTACTTTGAGAAGACGAGACCGTCGGGCGCCGTTTCTATGGATTGCATGGCCGTGCGGTCATGAAAGTCGTGGAACAGCGTCAAGCCCACGTTTTTGCTGAGCTCCGGGTCAGCGAGCACGACGATCGGTGTGGGGCCCATGAAGAACCGGTACACAGGTCCATATTGCAAAGACCACTGGTAGACTGCCTCGTGGTACTCGTTCTTGAAGAGCTCGGGGAGGTTTCCGACCAAGGGACGGAAGGGCGGGCCTGAAAGGAAAGGAGTACGATCAGATGAGAGTTCTGTCGGGAGGGCTTGATACAAATTTTTCAATTGTGGGGGTGCTTATGAAAAGAATCGACAGGGATTGCCTGAGGCAGAAGAACGCGTGCTTCACGGAAAAGTGTCACAATCCTTCAAAAAGCTGGACATAGAAAGTCTGTTTTCACATCGTCAACTTTGAAATATGGGAACGATCGATGGATGGGTGGAAGAGTTGGCCTGTGTGAAGAGAGAAGGGTGTGACTGGCTCAAACCATCTTACAAGATTCAAAAGCCAGACCTCTTTCATCTGTTACGTCCTTGTATTGGTGAGAAAGACAGAAGAAACTGAGTACCTGAAAGGGCGTATGGGGCACCTAGGCAAGAGAGCGTATTTCATTTGTTAAACCATCGGAGCTTTCATTAGACAAATACGTTCTGAGCAGGTTTCCAAACCAGGGAGACTCCAAACATTGGGGAAGGGCATGCCTGGGGGAAGAAGTGGGCCCATGAGAACTGGCTGAATGGCCTGACCTTTCCTACACTTGGACAATTTAGCGCTTCCATTCTTCTTCAGCTTTTGCTGCTCCAGTTCCTCAACGATCTTAAAAGGTAGTCTGCCCCAGCAGAAACTCGTTTGAAAGCGCCTGACAGATCTGACGTTTCATACAGTGCGACGACACCAGTTCCCATGGGAGAAGTATTTTAGCCCTTCAGCCACTAGTCATTTCACATTAGTAGCGCCAATGTTTGAGACGGTAGCCTTGGATTCGAACCGCCCCTAATCAGCCACTCACCTGCAATATGGCGGAACTTGACAGCGGGAGCAATCGCCCAATGGTACAGTGCCAGCAAGACAGGAGCCGCGAGCACAATCAACGCTTGGCCCATTATGATGCTGAGCATGAGCGTCCCTCCCAGAAAGAGAGTGGACCCAACGTGCCTGAGTTTCCAGTCCTCCCTATACTTTGAGGTGGAAGTCATTTTCTTTGACAAGTCTCTAGTCAGCTTTCTGATGAAGAATCAATGCTGTTGCTTCACTGTCTCCAGAGCGGAAGCATGGTCAACATGGCACTTTGACTCTGATGTGGTGGAAAGAATGAGTTGTAGTCAACTCCTCTCGAATCAACTCCTAAAGCAACTCGGGGCAAACTCCGTATGGCAGTGGTACTCATTCAACCTATACTTCGAGGGGAAGGACTACAAAAGATGACGGGATGCACAAGGGTGCTGCACTCCTGCACTTTGTGCGACCAGCGGACTTTCTTCGCTTGTGATGCACATCCCCAAAAAGAAGTTGCTCTGGACAAAGAGCTTTTCAGCTTGCTGCGACACCCCCCTGCTCAGTGCTGCAAATGCAACGCTGTGCACAGGTCCACCCGCTTGCTTCTGAACCCCTCCCCTGATGTCAGTGTTTGGTGAGGTGAACTACACTTTCCAAGCCAGAACTTGACCTGAAGCTTTCACTTGAAGCTTTGGCCCTGCATGGAGCAAATGAAGGTTTAATCTTAATTTAAACTTTCATATGAGTTTCAAGACAATGACACCTGGCACACGACCAGGCTTGCGTGCCACCACTGTCTGAAGTGTTGGTCGCACGTCGCCATATTTGAATCGGATGAGCTCGGGGAATCCGGCCGGTGGAGGCAGCCGACCTGTTACCGACCCGCCAGGCTGCCACTAACTTTCTACTACCGACCCACTGAGCTCGGCTGTAAAACTCCTACCGGCAGCTTATAAGGTTTGGGGGCGACCGAAGTCCTTGCACAAATTTGAAATTTTCGAGAGGGGAAAGAGGGGGGAAAGAGACTCGAGAGTCGAGAGAGGGAGAGAGAAAGGCGAGAGAGAGGCTCATGCAGGCTGAGGAGGTGTGCTGTCTTCATTGTCGGACGCACATTTTGAAAACTTGTTGAGAAGGGTGGAATGATGTGAAGGGCGGCTGTAGAGTCTTGTCTTGGTCGTTGTCTTTGAAGATCTGTCCAAAGGCGCAAATGCAGAAGGGGCGAAATCCAGTTTGCGTGAGCCAGTTGTGAGTAAAGCTGCTGGATGGCAAGCTACCTCAGTCACCCTTTTCGAAGGTTCTTCACCACCTGACTTGCAATAGTGAACCATCAGCATTATATTAGAGCTAAGATCTGGGTGCAAGCGATCAAAAAAAGGACGTTGATGCAGTGGGGAGGTTGGTGCAGACCTGTGTTTCCTCTGAGATCTGTCCGGTCAGGTTGGTGGAAAGGGCATTCCAGTATTTGAAGATTGGTACATTCCTTAGCGAGTTGGCATTCCTGGTGGACAAAAGTCTCAGGAACATACTGAACTAGAACAGAAGTTTTGGAGGAGCGAACAGTGTCAGCTCATCGCCAGCCACAACATTTAAGCAGCCTCGCGAGTCTGCAAGGAGAAAGGGCGAGGGGCGATGCAGAATTGCCGGGATGTCCGACAAGAATGGCCTCTCCTTCTCACGTAGCAGCATTGGAACCCCTTGGCCGTTATCAACAAGTCAGAAGCTGAACCCCATTGCTGAGGAAGGCCCAGGGAGAGACCCGCTCAGCTGGAGCATGCCTACCCTTGGCAAACCCGCTGTGAAGGGCAGAATGGGACAGTCGCAAGCCAAACCGCCCCTACTGGCAATGTTCCTGAGCCTCTGCATGGGCGTCTTTCTGTCGGGCTTTCTTTTCAGCTGTGAGTTTCACCAGTTTGGTCACCACCATTTGATTTTAAAAATCAATGTTGCTTGAAGGTTGACCTTGTGCACTTACCACCATCGGCATTTTAGTGACTCACTGCGAAGGCTGTAGACCCTTTTCAAGCTACAGATAATGATGTGCAAGGGGCGGTTGTGATGGACATGAAAAGGCAGAAATGAAGGTTTTGATGTACTTGCCAGACTTAACCGGTCCTGTCATGCCACTTTGGTTGACCCTTGCAACAACAAGGCACTTACCATCAATTGACACAGAGCTGTTGCTATGTAGTGATCTTGACATCTCTGAAAGATGACCCCAAAATACTCTTCGTCAACTTCAAATGTGGCTCAGAGAGCACTTGGTGCAGTACTCGCCTCTTTGCAGCCCCTTAAAAAAGGTGCTGCTATTCAAAGCACTGCCTACCTGAGCACTTGTCCCTCCTGCCATCAACCACTAGATTAGTGGTATCCACTTTGAGGAGTTTGTGCAGCTTTTCTGGCACATCAAGGAACCAGAGATGCAAGATTGCACGCAATGCTGCAAGCTTTATGACCGTTCGTAACTAATCCAGTCCACATGGTCTGTGTGGTCAATTGTCGCTTTGCATAAAAAGTGGTGGTCAATTGCGCTCCTGACTATGTAAACTGTGCCGCGCAAACCTAGACGCCCTGCTGGCTCTCATCTGCAACCCAGTGTCTTCTGGTCATGCCAACAGCAGGTCAATTCTTTGCACCAACTCAAAATGTTTATTCAGACACCTCCTCTTTTTGCAAAGCTTCACAAATGTGCAATTCATTGATCTTCCCTCCCCCTTTGCAGCATCGCTGCCGTATGGTGGCAGCATGTGGGGAGCGCAGCAAGCCCCTACAACGAGCATACTCAACACCAAATCTTATGATGAGCATGTTGCGAACCTGCTGTCAGGCTTGAGAGACCTGCGGCAAGAGATGGACAGGTAAGGCCACGGACAGCAACTCTTTGTTCGTACCTTCATATACTTGGGCCAACAAACAAGGGAGGAACCTTCCACATCCTTTTTGACTCCTGGTACTTGATCATGCAATCCGCATGTCTGGTCGTTCAGGGGGAGTGGCTGGAAGCCACTTGAAGGACCTATTTGGACGAGCTTAGGATGGGAGTTCGTAATTCAGCATCAGTGTCAAGGGGCTTTATCCCAAAACCTTGGGCCAGAAAGCTCTTTGGCTCTCAAGCAGGAGAGAGCTGTGAAGCTCTTACCTTGATCAAGCTGGCCATGTATTTTGCCGTTAGTATATGGTTTCTCCTATCCTTGACGAAGGAAGCTGTTGAAACTGTGTTCAACCCATTGAACACGCCGAGGTCGTGCATCAATGGGCGCTGTGCTCATCGCCGCTGCCAGTGCAAAGTGGTTGCCGAGAAGGCCAGTATCCTCAGGAGAAGTGAGGACGCAGGAGCGTGGCTTGGTCCGTTGCTTCGCTTCCTCCTCTTCTAAATCGGATGTGTTGATCTTCAAACGGTGTTAGGAGCACTGTCAGTGGTTATGTGTCTGGTCTTCCTGTTAGTGTGTAGCAACAGGTGCTTGTAGTGACGGCGAACGGCGTTTAAGTGCCAGTCTGTTGAGCATCGGCCTTAAGATCGGGGGGAACTTTGTAGTAGAACTCCAAGTACGTCCGTTTTCATCTACTGGTATGGCGTCCTTAGAGATTGGCTGCGCCTCTAGTTCGAATGGTGTCGCAACGTGAGGGCTTTTGTCCCGCAAGACAAGCGCAGTGGGAGACATGCTTGGTCCGGAAGATGGGGAATGAATATTCCTTCTTGCGACATCTTGAAGAAAGGGAACCTTGGAATCCTTTCATCAATGAGTGGGAAAGACAGAAAGCTTCATGCCAGAACTCTTTATTGAGACGGTATGGTTTACGGACGGGAGAACCTTTTCAGTGTCGTACAGAGAGCACAAACCTCTGCCGTAAAGAACCAATCAAAATGACCGATTGTGCAGAGCGGAGCAAGGGATGGCGGAATCGGGGGATGCTTTGAGCAACGCGCTGGCCACTCAGGAGTTGGAGATCGAGTTGCATCACTTGCGGGGCGAGTATGTACGGCTGCTCAAGACGACGGAGGAGCTTCGGAAGAACCTGACTGACATGAGGTCCCTGGTAAGCAGTCAAGCGATTATAGTAATAGTGGCCTAGAATGACGGGAACTGGGCTCCTGTAAGCTCGCGCTGACCGTGATTCAACCTAGAGCAGTTACCCAAGTCGAGAGGTAAAGCACCATGCGTGAACGATCCTGCCATCTGGAGGTTGCATGCAAGCTACCAAAGCTCAGATTTAAGGAGGAAAGACTAGCCTCGCAGCAATCGCAGGGAGGCCTGCGTAGACCATCTGCGTCTGATTGCTTTTGTTTTCGAAGTTTCAGATCTATCTTTTCATCTGGTCTTCAACGGTACCACCAGTGATTATTATACGGCTCCCCACACGTGTCCTTCCGCTTTTGGGTCCTAGCTTGTGCTTCAGAGTTTGCTTTTCACTTCGGGTTAAGCCACTGGCTCTCTTTGGTTGCGGTTTACTATACTTCATTCCCATCAACGGCTTGTTTTATCCTTCCCCTGCGTCCAGGTCAATCCGACGGCTCTAGCGGTGCGTGACATTGACGAGTCTCACTTGCGGCCCGAGGGGAGCATGTCGCGCATCGTAGACAGCAAGGGGGAGGCGTTCTTCTGCGACCGCTCGCATCCCGACGGAGACTTCTGCCTCATCCATGGGGACATCCGAATTGACTCAAAGAGCAGCACGATCGTCATGTATGCGGTAAGAAGGACTGCCATGCCCCAGCTGATGAAGGATTGTCTCCATAAATGCCGGCTGGAACCAGTTCATTTCCTGGCCAATCAGCTGTCAGACAATTGCCATCAACTCTGATCGGCAGGAAGCTGTCTCGTGTCAAGCGCCAGCTCAGGGTCAAGTAGATACTGAGTGGATGCTTATCATGCGCTAAGGTGTGAGCTTCGACCGACGATCTTGTCTTGAAGGCGACTCCTCGAGGCGGAGCGGTTCGGCAACCCTCAAGCGGTCCTTGCAGGCTTCCTCTGGGAGCTAAGAAGATGCATCATTACAGATTGTGATCAAGCGCTTACTCAAAACCAAACCTCACACAACCGCTAACCGCGGAGACGAAGCAGACGACTCCACGAGGCACATTGATTGTGCAATCCTTGCTTCGTGCCCGTCGAGGCTTAGGTTTTAACTGAATGCTGATGGACTCGATACAGATTCCAATTAAGCGCTAATGAAACGCCTCGTTTGCAGACCAAGGAGACGACTCCGCGGGGCACGTTGACGGTGCAGCCGTTTGCGCGGAAATGGGACGCGGAGCTCATGCGGGCGGTCACGCCCGTGGTGGCGGACGCAAGCGGGCCGGACGGGTGCCCGCAGAAGTACACCCCGTGCGCAAACATGCGCATGGTGCCGGCGGTCATCTTTGCCGGGGGGGGTTTCACAAACAGGTGAGGAGCATCTAGGGACGGCGCTGAACTGGTTTTCGAAGCTAAGGGTTTTTCAATGACTCATTGATGTTGTGGGTCCTGGTAGTCTGGCCGAAGGAAAGGCAGTACAGGGGCTAGAGGTTCGCCATCGACCGCCTTTCGGTTGTGTCTGCATTCGAAGCTTCGGCGGAAGGAGTCGGCGTTGCAAACAACCACTTTTTTGTTGGGGATACGGAGCCGAGGAGCCGCTGCCCAGACTGAGAGGCCCAGCCTTCTGATCCAAACGGAAACCAAGCTCAAGCTTTTGGATTGTAGTTGTGGGGCTCCTAAAAGTTTTCCGTCCTTCCATCGCAAGCATGTGAATCTAGTTGCACGTTCTGACAGGTTTGACACGCTCTTCCTTTCTGTTTCTTCCCCCCCGAGAAAGGTGATTCTGATACAGATTTCTGATCCAGGTCGCCGAAGGCGGATCGAGGTTAGCCGTTGGTTCTCCAGGCGCCATTTTGCAGGCGTCCATGGCTGGACCATGCCGTTCTCGACTGGAATGCGTTATCGCGGCCAGTTGAAACCCCAGTCCCGTCGTTTCCCATGCCTCTATCCATGTCTACCCCGACCTCTAGTCACGTTCTCCAACCGACGCTAACCTTTGACGCAGCACACACAGCATATCAAACCGCTCCATCCACTAGTCAATTTGCATACGTCCAAAGTCAGAAGTCCAACCCACGTCTAACCCAGAATCTTAACCCGTTCCACAGCACGTATGACGACCTGCGCGAGGTGTTCCTACCGCTCCACAACACCATCCACCAGTACGACAGCGAGGTCGTGCTCATGGTTACCGATAACCACAACTGGGTTAAGCAACACCTGGACGTGCTGCGCTCGTTCACCAAGTACCCCATCCGCCTCCTCAAAGACGACCGCGACATTGCGGGGAACCTGCTGCAGGCCGAGTGTTACCGCCACGTCATCGTTGGGCTGCGTATGGATCTTACGGTGCCGGACCACAGCCCGGGCCGACCACGGGTGAGCCATTCTGGCTCCAAGCGTTCTAGCGTGTGAGCGTTTCCGCGTTCTCCGAAACGGAGTGCGAAAGCTACTATTGTCTGGGGCTCGGGCTGGATGTTTTAAGCAGGCCAGCAGTGTATGCACGTAAGGTCTTGATGCGACAAGAAGCTTTCACGGATCAGCATCTTCTTTGTCACAGTTTTCTGTAGGAAAGGTTATGGGCTACTTTGTCGAACCCTTCCTATGCAGGTTTGTCAAGACGTCTCGGCTTGTCTTCTTTCCAACTCAATACGGTTTCGGGAATGTAGCAAGCTTTCTTGCGCTTCTTGCCCCGGAGTGCTCGTGCTGAACCAACTTCACAACTTGCAGCTCGACCCCCCAGACGAGAAGCGCCTGTCTTCCACCCTTTTAGCGTACTCCCAAGTCATTGCGCGGCGCATGCGGCTCCCCCCCAGCCAACCCATTGGAGAATGCCTCGCCGGGGCTAGCCCACAAAAACCAGTGCTCGGTTTGCTCGTGCCAAAATCAGAAAGCTTACAGCGCACGGGGCGGGGCCTAGCAAACGCCGAGGAAGTCGGGCGGATCGCCCGGCAGATGGGGTTCACGGTCCAAGCGATCGGCACGGGAAATGGGACGTACGTAGACCTCGTCAAATTCATGCGGGGCGCGGACGTGTTGGTCGGGATGGCGGGCGACGAGTTGGGCCATTTGGTACACCTACGGCCCAAAGCGGTGGTGATGCAAATCATCGGGTTCGGGGAGACAGGGTTCCCGGGCGCGACGGCCGGGCGGGAGTACCAAGACTTGGCGAAGTTACTAGGGTTGCGGTATCTAGAGTGGGTTGCCGGGCTGGAGGAAAGCTCGATCGGGAGGGAGCCGGGCGAGCGGCAAACTCCGGCGAAGGTGTGGTCCGGAAAGTCCGCAGCGGCTGCTGCGGCAATCTATCGGAGACAGGTCGTCACGGTGCCCGAAGACGCCCTCCGGTCGCAGCTAGCGGAAGCTAAGGAGCACTTGCTGGCGCTTGGTAGACAGCATGCAAAGGCGCGGGGGGTAAAAGATCCCAGGACTCGGGGTAGCGACCTTTGACATGAGAGCAGGCATTGAGCAAGGCTGTCTTGAAGCCTCTCGTAAGATTCATCTAGAGTCGTTGAGATCCGTAAGTAGGGACAAGGAGTTGCATTGCTATGTCAAAGTGAGCCGTCAACGCAGCCAGTTGGAGATGATCAGTCGTCTAGCCTTAGGACCACGCATTAATTATTCGTGCTCGCCATGCAAACATGTTAACCGGTATCGACGTCCCCTAACGCGTTCTTAGAATGTGACCTTAATTGGCCTAATTCATGCCATGATGCCCAATGCGTATACAAAAGTTTTTGGAATCGGGGCTTTACAAACAACTATTGCCAAGTGCCCTGAACAAGAGCGGCATATGCTGCTGCACTCAAACGCGGTGTATATATCATTGCCCGTTTTATCAAATCATCATTATCACGACACCTTTCATGCCACGAAATGCATTCGATGCTGTCGTAAATGATGACGTGCGATCCATGCAGCGCCCATTCTTTAGGGTCGCAATTCTTCCGAAGTTCATGCCGTTCTCTCTCAGTAAGAATTCCATTGATATTACAGAAATCATCTCATGCATATTTCATGCATGATTCGCGATCGATCGTCAGAGTCCAATACGGTGCAACGTGGCTCGATCGCGGGTCCGACGATACGACAACAGCGCATTGAATTGGGAAGCCATGTCGTGCATGCATTGAAATGTTAGTTAGTTCAATGTCGACGTAATATACTGTGCACATTGCAGATCATGCACTGTTGCATGCACTGCCATATGCGCGCTGGCAAGGATTAAATATATAAGCACATGTGCTCGATCGCGATCCTTAACGTATTCAAAGATTTTGTTTGCAATGTATACACGCGTGACCCGGCCAGGAGTAACAACAGCTCATGCAGATGTGATGCATATCACCTAGGCCTGCGCACATAGGTATACGCATGGTTGGTCCGACTGGTGGTACGTTGCGTCCGCGTCCGGTTGTGTACTTAGGCGGTGCACAAGTTTTCACAACCCAAGGAGGTCGGACTCTGACCTAAGCGAGCTAAGTTGTGGAACGTAACCATATGAAGCTGACGATTGATAGCTAGAGCTTCGAAAATTGCAGGCAATAGAGGGCCGCTTGTATACATTTGCCACCGCCGGCCGGCCATGTATCTGGCGCGTCGTTCCGGAGCAGCGCAACTTTGTGCAAACATATCAGTGCTTGGGCGCTTGTCTAGTGCTGTTGATCATGGTACAATTTTGATAAAATTGTCAGTGACGTTCAGATTCAAGAAATGTCCAGAGCACACAAATCCTGACTCCTTCGCTCCTAGTCAAGAAAAGAACCTTCAGGCTATCAGAGCAGTCTTTGTTTACAAGAAATATCAATATGAAGGCCGTAGAGTAGACCAAAACCGTCATGTACTCAACGCTGCCGAGAACAATCTAAAACATTTTGACGACTAGCTTATTATTTACAAAAAAGTCGGCCATATCAAAATGGCTGGGCCACAAAGCGTCTACTCATAATTGTCTATCAAACACTACTATATATATAATAACAGGTCCTATTAAGGGCAAGCTCACCAAAAACACACCACTCTTCCCAAAGCACGCTGCAGGCACTAAGTTTGCTGGCGGACACACCTCGCTACTTAGCCTCTTATCTTTCATGAGTTACTTGTTAAGCCCGACGAGGACGTTGGCAATCAGAACGAGGATATTGAAGGAGGATACCCCCACGCGGAGGTAGAAGTAGAACGGGGACGTTTTCAGAAGGCCGTCCGGCTCGAGTCCGTTGAAGTACGCAACCAGTAGCATGCCGGCGGACATCAGGATGAGACCCAGATTGAGGACGTTGAACGTGGTGCGCTCGCGCACCTTCTTGTTGTCGGCAATGTCCTGCATCGCGCCGCCCGCTCTTCATGTCAAGAAAAGCCTTCCAGCATGCATGAAGCTGCCTTTATGAATTTTGAGCGGCTCCCAACGGGGGCTTATTTGGAAATGGTAACAGCTGATGAGCATGCGACACACAAACCGAGCGCATCGGGCCTTTGCAACGAGGGTCAGATTGTGCATGTGCAGGCTGCGAGCAGAGCATTTTCAAGGCTTTCTCCGTCAAATAAGCAGGTTGAAACGTGAAGGTGATTGTCGTGGTGCTAGCGTGCATGTGAAGAAAGAGCAATCTTGGCACAAACCCCTTGCACCGCTCATGTAGATAAACACGGACTTGGGCTCAAGGCTTTTAGTGTTTGATTTCGTTCTTATTACGATTGAGTTTCTTACAACGACTCAAGCGGATTATGAACTCGGGACTCACCTTGATGCTGGCCATGGCAATTGTAGCCGCCAACGATGCGGCCGACACTCCCCGCGCAAAGATGACGACGGCGTCTCGAGCGGCGCCTTCCAAAAGGTCCGCCGGCAAGATCATCGCGGGAGCCACGTAAACGGTGAGGCCTGCAGAGCACCGGATGGTTCAAGTTCGTTCTGTCTTGTTTCTGCTTGTTTCAACGGGGGAAGGAGAGCGCCGGCAGATCTGTTTCCCGCTGAGCCGCATGCGGCGGCTACCTCCACGGGCGACTTCGCTCCGTCTCCGCCCACTGTTTTGAAGTGACATTTGAGACGAAGACAAACGCTGAATGCGGCACACTTCTATCAGGAGTACATAAGCGGTCGACGAAGTGCGAATCCGTTAAAACAGACCTGCGAGAAAAAACTGAACGTGCACGCACGCTTCAATTGTCCAGAGTACGCCAGGATTTGAAAGCTTTATTACTATCGCAATTTAAGGGCCCAGTGATTGCCCCGTATATGGACCCTTGAGTAATGCCTTGCGCTTTCGTATCCCGCACAAGTGCAAACCCGAGCGAAAACAGCGTCGGCCGTTTCCGCCGTCCGAACAAGAGCCTCAAGAAGATACATGAAGGCGCTGGAGCAGGCACAATCCTAGCCGCCTCCGGAATAGACACAATCTGGAAGTCCGCTGAGCTAATAATTTTTTCCAAAGGTTCGCATAATACTTGCCGATTTAAGCGGGGCAGGAAACCGTCAGCAGAGAAGTGTTGGATCGGATCAGCTTACCTTGAACGAGGAAGATGAGCGTGGTCGCCAGAGAGAAAAAGCTAAGGGTTCCGCGGACCTTGAAGAGTTCGTTGAACCCCCTCTCGAGTCCGGAAGTAATCTTCTCAAGCGTGAGTCCGCCAAAGAGCGGGGGGAATAGCGAGGCGGCACCCGTCAAGACAAGGGCAGCACTGCCAGGAACGGTGAGATAACCGTCAGCTTTAGTGAAAGAATTTTAGTCACTTCGCCTCAACCGAACATGTACACATGCAGTAAACGTCCCCCCGGATTAGGATCGGGAGATCCGGCCCCAAGAGAAGGCGCAATACTAGTAGCAACGAGCAGCTCAATTTGTCCGCGTCAGTGGAAATGATCGCAATTCGCAGATAAAAGCAGGGAAAACGCCAGAGGATGCGAGGAGCTGTGCAGAGCGACTTGGTTTCTGCAGCACAGGTTGATTGGAACCGATGCAGATAACCTACTTGGTTCACCAGCAGCAGATGAAGTAACACGTCAACCGGGGCGGGCTTAAAAGCAGTGCTGACGATTTTGGCCTGGTTATATGCGTTGAGGGCCGAGAGTCTGGGTGACCTCTCTGTCCCCCAATCATCGAACTCCAGTTCTATAGCTTAGCAGGTTCATTGGTTTTTTGGACACACACTACCGACACGAGACCAGCTTATACACGTTGAGGACGCATAGAAGACATAGAAAAAGTTGGATAGACCTTCGAGCGCCCGGGAGGTGAACCAGAGCACCCGTCAGAAGGAGAGCAAAACCAGCTTCCCTTTAACCGGTCGTGTCCAAACGAACTTCTTGTTAAGTATAGTCAGTGAAGGTGTAGGCAAGGTGGATGCGGAAGCTCACATGGCATATGGCTGGGGCACGATCTTGTTGAGGTAGCCAATCAAGACTGGGACTCCGTATCCCACGCCGTAAACGAGCAGCGCAAAGTCGAGCTTGGCAGCCATCCCGGCTGTAGTTTTCTGCACGAGCGGCGGACACCATTCGCTGAGGAGTTGACTTTCGCTCCGTCGCTGAGGGAGAAATGAATTTGCTCGTCACCCAGGATACCTCGTAGGAGGTTCATACTCTGGCTCGTGATTTGCAAAACAGACGGGGGTTGAGTGAATTCTCTTGCGGCTTCCTTTCACTGGCTGTTGCGGCTGAGCTGGGAGTAACGTGCTTTTTTGGGATTGAAGGAAGTGCTGGTTCTTGACATTCCTCAATCTAGATCGAGATCCTAAGAGTTGGGCCGACCGAGCTCCTCTATGGCTGCTTTCGGAAGTCAGATGCTTCTAGCATAATCTGATACTTGAAGGCCTCCAGGTTATGGGTGAAACGCGCCTGTCCAGAACCTGAGAGTCGAGAAGCCGTTCTTTCAACGGGAAAGCTTTCTCAACCTACATACTGTCTCCCTAATCCGAAGAGTAAAGTATAGAAAGCAGCTTACCTGGAGGGCCGCGTATAACGAGTAAAGCGACAGCGGAATGAGGCTGGTGCCATAGGAGCGTACGAAGCTGTACTGCGAGCTAGTGAGAGGCATCACGCCGAGGCCTTGTGTGTAGTAGTCCTGAGTGTGTGCAATCTGGGCAAAGGAGAAGGCAGCAAAGCCGGCTCCCAGTAGGCCAAACACAAGGGCTCTGAAGGCTGCGAAACAGATAGGAGTGAGCAGCGGATCAGGTGACATAATAACTACTACCTGGTTCACCGCTCTCAAAGATTTGTGACCTCTTACAGCTTGTGCAATGCCTACTCAATGAGAATCAAGCCTTTTTTTATAGAGGAAGCACCACGAGTGGTCTCTGATGTCACGCAGGGCATACATCCGATCTTTGGCCAACGCATAGCACGATTTGAAGAATCATGTACCAAGGCTGTCTACAATCTCTGTGAAAACGAACAAGAGCCAGTACCGCCTACTTTGGACACATCTCTATTCTGTACCAGTCATCAGTCCATGACTCAATGTCAGCCCCCCAATCAATATGAGTGCAAGCGAGCGTGCTTCCCAAACACGCTGCCTCACCTGTTGTCTCTTTGTCTTTTTGACCGTCCTCCAGTTGCGCAGCAACATCTCTGCTCGCACGAACGCTGGCTTTCCTTGGGTGCCTTGGCACAGCTCTCTTGCTGAAAGCCTCTTTTGAGAGGGGTGCAAATGCCTGGCCCTTGAAGCTTGATGCCTTGAAAAGTTGAGCGGAAGCGGCCAGAGGGGATGGACAGGGCGAGCAATTGGCTGTAGGGAATTAACGCCAAGGATGATTGATCAACAGCAACCCGGGTAACATTAAGCAGGAGACACATCTAGTGAACTCATTCTGGAAGCTGGGGGAAATTCGAACAGGTGGTGGAGGACTCTCATAGAAACCAGTCTATATCTGGATAAAGGGAATTATTCAAACATATGAGCTAGTTGGCGGTTTGGCTTCAGTTTGGATATTCTGATCCAATCTGAATATTCTGATGACTACCCCATCTGAGTAGTGTCATTCTACTTCTGCAGCCATTGGATAATCAGCACTCTACATGTGCACAGGTGTGGGCCTATCGGAGGTGTGCGCCAGACGGTGTAGCAATCATCACCTACATTCAATTCAAGTCCAGATGTTGATAAACAAAAGGCTTACCTCTTTGCACTAGGAGAGACAAGCATTGTCTTGAGCTAGCTGAAGTGCCTGGCTTTGTGATGCTTCTAATGGAAGCATCCGCCAGGCTTCTGACTGTGATTGCGGTTGCTGCCATCCTCTACACTGCTGGCCTTCGAAACGGGAACCTAGAGTCACAAAAGTCAGCTCGTATGAGATGTTGTGAAATGATTCACACTTATGCCCCCAGGATGAGGCTAGCGTTCATTTGCTGTTTGAATGTTTGAACAAAGTTCTGGTTCTGCAACTGACTGATCTGTACTCTTGGGGTTGGCAGACACTGACCCTCTACACTGAGGGTAGAGAAAGAAGAGAGACGCCAAGAACCTGAAAACTTTGCCTGCACTATTCAAAACCCCAATGGATCGAAACATCCAAATGGCTAGGAATTCAAAACTGACAGATCAATGGCAAAAGCGTTTGCATTGTGAAGCAAAGCCATGAAGATGGATCACCAAACGCGTGATCACTTATTTGTGTCAATCATCTGCAAGGGTGAAGACTCAGTTAACAAAGATTGGAACCTTGGACAGCTCTTGGCTTGCTTTTATCACATTCTCAGACTCAAAATCATGCCTTGCGCAAGGAGATGCCCAATGAGATCTGAGGCTTTTCTAGGAGCGCCCCTGGCAAGACTCCTGCTGCGAATTATTGTGGTCAATGAGAAAATGTAGTGGGGCAAGATTCCTCACTACATCAGCAGGCAAATGCAGGTCATCACTAAGCAATGGGCCAGAAGTTGATTGAAGACTTGTCACCACCTACCAACGGGTGGTTAGTTTTTCAAACAGAAGGGGCCAAAAGCCAGATTTGTGATTCAATGCAAGCTTCAAAAGGAAGATAGAACAACAATCCTTGCCTTCTGAGCCAAAGCAGTGGGTGTAGGCTAGTAAAATGCCGACTAACTGTCATTGACAGGGGTTCTTGTTTGCAGGGAAGTGATTGGCTTCAGAAGCTCAGCAGATTCCCAGGCTTGAAAATTGGTTGAGGTTTGGGTTGCCCAACTTGCAAGAAATAGTCAATGTTTCCTATGACTTCAATAGAGTCAGAAAGGTCATTGGCGCAAAATGCACTGCATTCTTACCCAATGCAGGCTGTTTTGAATGCTCAGAAAGTTTGTGTATCCCAGCTAGGTATGACATCAGCGTTCGAATGCAAGGTTGAATAACTTCACAATGCGCTTGGTACTCTCATATTTCTCAGCTTCTTGATTTTATGCAAGATCACAACGCATGGGGACAGAGAGGATTGCTCAGAGGTTCACCTTTTGGCCCAGAGATAGCTTGACGCAAGTGCAGTTGGTCACTATTTGGGATTGGCTGGAAGAACTATAATCAAAGCAGAGTGTGAGGCACTTGAGGGGTCAAATGCGGAGGCGCAATTGCCAACAAGCCCAAGCTGGACTACAGAGGCTGCCAATGTTGCAGAGCGCTGTTGAAAGGACTCAATGAGTTTGGCTACTGCTTTTCAGCTGTGGCTAAGCACAGCAGCTTTGCAAAGACTTCTAAAGGGAGATCTGCAACTGGTGCATTGTCTTAGCAAACGCTGAAGACAGTGCCTTACTAATTAGAAGCTTCTTCAATCCGTCAAACATCCTTGGACGAAACTCACCTTCCAATGCGTTCGTAGCTGCCAGAGGCGCGGCAATGGCAGGCTTTTCCTTGAGCTCGTCAAACTGACTGCTTCTTCCACTTCTGCCTGTGAGACACAGTTTTGACAAATTTTAAATGCTCGTTGACAATTGACGTTTGACAATTCACGAAGCCATTTGACCGCCGCGCCGCCGGTTTCAAAATCCCGGCTGGCCAATCATTGAACAGGAGAATCGGCCAGTTGGCATGGGCAAAATAATCCGGGTACTTGCTTCACCGATGCAAATGAAACCTGGGCGCCCGGAAAAGTCCAAATAGCATGTGCTAGTGGATTTGCCCCGGGGACCCAAGAACGCAAAGAACATAAAGTACCCCGACTTCCGTTGAGTAACTGAAAGCGTGTCGCTGGGGGCATGATTGAATCAATCACTGGTCATACAGCGATCACACATGAAAGCGAACTTTTCCGGCCGGTGACAGATTTCGACGGCTGTTTGGCCGGCTGCAGTCGGGTCGATCACACATAGCGACCGTCAACTTCTGGTCGGTACAGCCGTCGAGCTGTTTTGGCGATGGTCAAATCTGGGACGTCCGATGACCGCTAAACAAGGAAAGTCTTCCAGGAACCGAGCAACTTTGCTTGATATAACCTGCCAGAGTGCGTGAAGACTCCGTGCTTATGGTATGCCCAATGGTAAATCTTTCTCTCCGAATACGTGTCACAGCTTATTACCACCTAACAGGTTTGTATCCCCGGGAGATTGAATCCAAGACCCATAACTCTGACAGGTCTATGATGCCCATGTTCCCCATGATCATGTCAATTTAACCCTACTCATCCTATCTGAACACCGGTCATTTTTTTATATCCGTCCCATATCCGTATACTCTGTGTTTTGTGATTATAAACACCTATATGAGATTCACATATGCTTTTCAGCCTGATGATGATGTCCGTAAAACACAACCCGCGACGGCAAGGTTTTGCCCCGGGGGAACATGTTTGCCACGGAGGCTTCCTCGACATTTGACGGCAGTACCGACCGTCGCCGCAGTGGCCGACCGACAAAAGTATGGCAGAAATTTTCTGGCCGCCGTCGACGGCCAGAATGGCCAGAAGGCGAAAATCGCCGGCCGGAAGTTGGTTTTCCGGCATGTGTGATCGTTGTATGATGACACACATGCCGGCAGCCGGACAAGTTCCGGATTGTCCAAGTTCCAGCCACTTCCAGCCGTCGGCGTCGGCCGGGAAATCCTTTCCCAACTTTCCGGGCGGCCGACCGCCCGGGGACGGCCGGTGAGCAAATCAGTAGGCTCTAGAGTCTAGAGTCTACGTAGTTCAGTCGAAATTCTCGGCCGGCCGGTCCCCACACTGA